TACTTTCAAAATATTATATATATATATATATATATATATATATATATATATATATGTGTGTAATTTAAGCCACAACTTACATATATATAAGTGTATCCTAAGTATGCCATCTGTCCAGAACCTTAGCAGTGATATGTACACTAGGAAGTTCCTTTACCCTCTATTTTGGGAAGATCCTTTCCTGCCTCTTTTTTTCTCTAAAACCAAAAAAAAAAAAAAAAAAAAAAAAGAGGGAGGAAGGGTTAGATGCATTCCTGGTAGTAAATTTAACTTATAATTCCAAATTTCCTGCATGACAAATTACGCAAAAGCAGTACAATCAAAAGCACATACCTGCATTTTCCTTTTTTCTTTTCGTTTCACTTCAGACTGACAGCAGAAAGCTGAGGCCTGAGTGAACACTGATAAAAACCACAGTAACTGACCGAATACTAGGGGAAGGCATAGGGGACGTTAAGGTGAGAAGGAAAACTCACAAAGGAAACGCAGGATCACAAGCTGTCTTCAAAACCCATGGGCTTGCTGGTTACTGTCCTGCTCACCTCTGTAACGTAGGCAAACGCCTTTCTTCGGAGCAAACGCCACCGCTGAAATACATGGGTTTAACTTGTGGAGTTCTGGAATCTCCTTTCCTATCCTTTGCCAGGTTCTGCCCTGAGAACACAAGCTGTGGGACCCCTCTACAGCTCCAGGAGCCTGGCAAATCCAATGGAAAAAGCACGCTCATGTTTTAAAGCAGCTGATCTAAAGAAAAGGACACAGCAGGAACAACTAAGAAGTAGCAACGTAGATTTTAAGACATTTTATTTAATGTGCAAAATTGCCAAGAAAAAAACATGTACAACTTCAACTAAGCTATAGCCACTAACACGAAAGAAACTATTCTATGCACTCATAAGCTTCGTTTCTATAATCACCCTATGGTTCAGAGTAAAAACACAGCCATTTGGTAATGACCCAGAACATTTTAAATGCCTCCTTTTCAGCGATATGTAAAATTCTACCACTGGTGTGGTTTTATGTAATTGCAAAAGGAACCAGTTCTTGGAGATTTCCCTTCTGATTGCATAGTATAAAATTTTAATTATTTTCTTCCTCTTTCAGCTTAATCCCTAGACTTGGCTTTACAAATCACTCTCAGTTCTGCAGCTCTGTCTTCAGACAACTAATTTTCCCATTTACAGCTGAAACACTTATAAATTTTGAGCAATTTTCACAGACACAGCCATTACAGTTTAGTTGAATCAAGCTGTGAACAACAAAGATAACAAGGATATTTGTAATCATGCAGAGCTATTCCTTTCCATCATTCAAAACCGTAAGAAAAGTTCATTTCGTCAGAAGGTGAGATCTGTTGTATGGAAAATAAGACAGTTTATTGATGTAACATCTCTGTGAGAAAGCATAGAAGGTGTTATTTGAAAGGTTTCCTAGAACATACTGAAATAGCATCGGGAGGTGGGGGTTTTTTTTCCTTGTAAATTCACATATACTTAAATGCTACCAGAGGAACAGGTAATTTATAGTCTCGAACAATTACCAAGCTCCATGAAATAATAAATAGTGCTTCGTACTAAAGTATCCGCTTGCATTCTGGGGTTTCAGTGTTTCTACCATAATTAGCTAGTTCAGCTTCTCACCAGGAGTGAGGAGAGGCAGTCCCTTCACCCCGCTTTATGGACAGAGACACCGAGGCATAGTCAGATTAAGCACCTTGACCAGGCCCAAACCCAAATTCTGAATTCAACTGTCCTCCGTTTTCCTAATTTCCAGCTACCCATAACCAGAGAGCATCCGTCCTCTGTTTGCACAATTTTAAGATACTTGTGATGAGTAATTCACTGAGACAATACTGGATCACTCCCGCAGTCCCTGAAGTAAGCAGGTGTTTTGTCAATAACTTCAGTGGAAGATGTTATCTGTATTCGTGTTTTGCCTTCATACTAATATGACATCTGCATCACAAAGTAGAACATGGGCCAAAGCCATAAAGTGCCATAGCTAATGAAAAATTACATCACATATGTTGGTTGCTACTTCTATCACACCAGCAGTATATCAGCAAGCTAAAGAGTGCACCTCTGTGTACACCAACGTAAAAGTCCAAGTCAGAACGCACAGTAACGGCAAGAAAGACATTAAATGAAAAAGAAAAAGTCACAAAACATCGGAATATCTGCGCTGTACACGTCCTTTTTAACAAGACCCAAAGAACTGCCCAGAACAGACCCTCTGTGGGGTCTCAGCTGTTTCTGCTGGGTTGCTAAATCCTAAACCAAAACTCAAGCCTCGGTAAGACGGGTTCTATCTTATTTTCCAAAATTTGGGGCTTCACTGTCATTTTTTTCTGTCAAATGTGACCTCAAATACAGTTTGAAGAACCCAACGCCAACATTAAATGAAAAAAGCCTTCCCAGTCTGTCATAGAAAGAAATATTAAAATTAATTTGGTGGAGGGTAACGTGTTTTTGTGTTGGTTTTATTTTATTTTACTTTTTACTACTTGCAGTGTTGAAAGTAGTAGATAAAGGCAAGGATAAAGAATAAACCTCAAGTTTACTTATATTCACATCTCCCATGTTTATAACTCTGAAATAGAATACACTGTTAGTGTTGCTATTTTTGCACTGTTTTAACAAATGAAGAAATCAAAAGCTAACCAAATACATAAAATTGATTCCAAGCAGTTAACTGCAAGACTATTTCACCAGCCATAGTAATCAATTCGTAATTAATTAGTGTCCATCCACTGCAGAAATAAAAGGGTTTACCATCTATTCTTCTACTACAGTCACTTGCTTTATAGATCCTGGTGAATCCCTGGCGTAGGCTGCTCTATTCTGCTGCATCACATCCCAAGGTATCTATTGGTTGAGTCTGCTGGTGATGCAGGACCTGAAAGCCCCGGATTCCTTGCAAAAAGCCAGAGTTAAGGACCCACAAATTTCCGATTTCATAGTTTAAAAAAAAATCATATACACAGGCACTCTTCGCAAGGTCCTACTGGAGAATGTAAAAGTCAGTGCTCCTTGCCAGGTACACGAGATTTTAACTGATGCCAGCGTGTTACAGTGGTTGGACGCTGGTTTGAAAAGCACAGGAATGCACTGAGCTGCAGTGGAGAGGGACATACTTCGGAAGAAAAACTCACGTCCTCTTTAATTATTGTACTCAGTGGAATCAGCTTTCTGTATTATTTACAATCATTTGCACCTATTATTGCCTAGCATGTAAATGTGTATTTATAAAGTTATAAAATTATTTACAGAATGTAATATAGTTTCAAGCTACTCCTTGGGAATGAATCGAGCATGGAAATTCATGAAAAGTCAGGCACTTCTTAAAACAACCATTAATTTTAACAAATGCAACAAAATCAAATTCCTGAAACACCTCTTCATGGTATTTGTCATTATTTTTGAGACACCTGCTTTACATTTGACCACCTAACCATTTAAAACCCATTTCTCAATCTTTCATGAGCTTCGTAACAGTAAAACTCTGGCAACTAACTCTTCCTTACCGCTTCAGTACATGTTAAGGAACCTGAAACGGTTGGGGACAAATGGATGGATTCCAGAATTAGTTTTCAAAAAATATTTTTGGACACACACACACACACAAATAGATATATGCATATGAGTATGATAAAACATGGTCTACGGTCTCAAGGTGATTTTAAAGACATGAAGTATAGATGATTTGGGGGCACGTCAACAGTTTTAAAAATCTGGACCTAAACCACCATTCTGCCATACCACTTCTATGACTCTAGGGTTTATGTCTGCTGATATTAAGGGCCACCCAAAAGGCAAATGTGTATGTAAGGTCATCTACCCGCCTCAGAGCCCCATCGAAATCTCTGTCTCATCTCCTACATCTTGTACGCAGCCCAAGGAAGACTTTTCCCAAATAACAAGCATCACCAGATGTGCATGTTTGTGATCGCCTTTGCAATTATTTGCTATGCGTTGGGCATGGCAAAACACCTTTGATCGAGGATGTGCGATGCAGTTATTCTCAACAGAGGTTCGGCAATACTAACCAGGTTTGCCTTTATGACTTGACTACCTTGAAACTTCTTTAAAAGGAGTAAAGCGGTGCGCAATTCAATTACTGACCTATATAACTCTAATTTCTATCAGTTGAGTTTTGCGTTATTTATTTACAAGAGAAAGGCAAGAGTTTAAAAAAAACAAACAAACAAACAAACAAAAAAGCAGCATTCTCAATGAGTATTCTTACCCTCATTTTGCATGCTTTAAAATAAAAAGGTTTAACTTGAAGTATTTTGATAAGAAAAAAATTTAAAAATCTTATTCAGTCCTGGAGTTACAGCCAAAAAATTAACCCATGAAAAGAAAGTCTACCACAGAAAGTGCAGGCTTGACATACTGACTCCCTCTAGCCCTGTTACAACAGTGCTCTGTCTAAAAAACATTGTAGTGAACAAGCTTAAGCTAACTCACTTCTCTTTGAACACACACTGCTTTGTAAAAGTTGCTTGGCAGACCAGTAATGCATCTGGAGCAATCATGGAGAACTAGCTAGGCATTATTTACACCCTAGACTTATTTTCAGAATTACATCTGGTTTACGCCAAACAGCTGTGCGCTTCTAACCTTTTACGGAGGGGTAGTAAGCAGAGAGAGGAGTGATCTGCTCCATCAGCCACAACAGCACACTGAGCAGAGGGCGACTGTTGGGAAAAAAAAAAAAAAAAAAAAAAAAGCTAATGGTATTAACACACTAACATACTGTATGATCATGTCTTTTTTCCCCCCCTCCTCCTAATGATGTAGTAAAATATAGATAAAATGCCGCACAACTCGAGGTTTTATTGCAAGAGATTACTTCAAGTAACTGGAAACCACTGGTGTTAATGATGCCATTCTCTCACGTGGAGCTGCACAGGGAATGCCCATGGCTTACACAGAGGAGTGGAAGCATAAATCGATACACTCTCTTGTGATAGGACTGAGCCTTAATTTATGCACATTGGTCACTGACAACGAAAGGAATGCCCCTTACTGAGAACAGCTGCCAAAACCAACTATTTTCCAGCGGGCATGAGTTAACATGCAACAGAAGATCCACGGCTTCCAGACCGTTAAGGTAACTCCTGACCTGTTAACGTCCTTCAAGTTCTCTCACGCTTGTTTTCTTCCTACCCCATTTCATGTCAGTGAGGTACGAGAAGCTGCTGCGATTTGTTTACGTACGAGAAATGCAAGGTCAGGACCGGAACTGATTTACAGCATCCTTGGACACAGTACTCAGAGCGGCTCGGGCGTGTACAGGATGAACAAGGTCAGCAAAACAAAGTGACTCCTGCTAGCTCAGAAAACGCTGCTTTCGAGCTTCCTCCGACTTTTAGAAGCTGGCAGTTAGCTCTTCTATTTGCAGCGCAGAACAAAAACCAGTACATTAAAATGTAATTAATTAACAATCAGACATCGTGAAACATAATGAAAACTGCTTCGTACGTATCATCCCTTAAACAAGGCAGTTCTGCCATTCCATCCACTCACGCTTTTTCTACAGGCTTTGCGTTTTTATCTTACATTTCTTATATGTCTCCCCTCGTCAAAGTTAGTCTGATAAAGAAACGATCATTACTTACGATAGCCTTCCCATTTCTAGGTGTAGGATTTACATGCACTTCCATCAGGTTCTATCCATAATTGTATTAGATATAAATATTATTTATATTTCTAGGCTGAATGCTAGAGCTTCTCTCAAATCCAGATAATGTTTCTCTCCCCAAAAGTAGTGCCCTCTTATCCTCTTAACATTACTCTTCTACTGACGTTAATGAACATCACACATAGTATACCTACTGAAACCGGTCATTACACACATACCAAGAAGTCATTTTACGTGCGTTTCATTTGCAGATGTTTCTAACGATGATTTACAAATCTGACAACAAACAGTGGTCAGAACAGCAACGTTTTTGTACACAGAAAACAGTATTTTCACCTAAACATGTAACAGAATTTTAAAGAAAACTGGGGCATTTAGTAGAAAAACCTTAATGACTAGGTGTTTTATCAGTAAAAATTGCATTAATATATTCCAATGAGGTTATAACTTTAAACGGGTGTACTTTCTTCTTTGAAATCAGTATTGAAAAACTATTTTGTAATTGTAGCCATATAAAATGTTTATTATATTACAAATTATTTGTACACTGTATTTTCACTTGATCATTGCTTTGTGCTCAGTATAAATATTACAGCATGGTTTTTCTTTCCCAGGAATGTCCTTACTGTCTTGATATAATCTTACTTTGTACTTTAAAACAACAACAAAAAAAAAAATATACAGAAACCTATTACAAACAGGAAAAAAAGCCATTATGAATGAAAAATGTCAGATGCCTTTGTGAATTAAGTGCACCACAATGGTTTCAGAGTGATGGTTCAGGGAATATTCAATAGACTGCACATCACCGATACAATACCAAACAAAATTAATTTTGAAAGTCTAACAGGTCTTCCTCAGTAGGATGAAGAGTACTTTGTTTAACTTGACTGAAATGTTGTTTTTTTTTCTTTCTAGGAGCCTATTTAAATGTTTTTATTCGGGGTTTTTCTGTCTGTTCGTTTGCATGTAGGCATTCAAGCCCTGTATGTCTACATAATTTCCAAGCTTTTTGATTTCCAGTATGGCAAGATACTTCATCAAGTAAGATGTAAGAGGCTTTACCTGCACACATTTTTCAGTAGAACTACTAAGTTGCTTAAATTTAAGAATGGGCAGAGATCTAAGAACGGGAAGAGATTTACAAACAGAGCCAAGTGTCACAAAAGCACTGTTTAAATCGGGTATATCCTACTCCTTTTGGGACTATGTTGTAACATTACCCCTCCCAGCTCTAGGGCTTCAGCACTCCTCTCAACGATGATGGTTCCGTATTTGCAGCTTTAGGATAAAGTCTGCAAAAAAAAAAAAAGTCTGCAAAACTGGAGTCTAAGATACAGAAATCTATTTCACAGCACATTTCACTCCCGTTGCATAGAAGGGCCCATCTACTTGCAAAACGTTGTTGAGCTGAACAGAAGAACCGTTCAAAAAAACCTGAGGTCATAAAGCTGATGCAAAATGTGGCTGACCCAATTTAGTGGAGGTTTCACTTACCGAGTTAGAGTAAGCCAGTTATGAACCAGCTTAGGCTAAATAAAAGCAAGCCGCTCTTCAATTACATCCCCGCTTACATTACAATGATGTAAATGACTAAAAAAAATAAGCAGAATATTGTTCAAGGGATTCTAGTGAGACTTGAATGTATACATGAACCCTAGTAGAGAAACTCAGCCTTGCTCTCAGTGAGTGAAGTTCCCACCGAAGCCAACCAGAACTAGTCTTTTTATGGCACTCTGAGTTTGGCCCGGGATTTTTAAGGTGTTATTTTAAAGTGTGATATTCTTAGGCAGCTATTTATTCAACGTAATTTGGGTGCATTGTATTACACTGATAAGATCAGTATTATTTAGCTGACAGGTAACTGAGAGCAGTCCGTCTTTACTAGACTTATATTTATATGAAAGATTGAGTTTCTTTGGTTGTTTTGTATCCAAGTCACCCAAATGTGTATTTGTGTACTCCAGACATAGCATGTTTATACTGATCATTACAATTATTAGGGTTTTCTTTTGTTTTCTTTTTTTTTTTTTTCCTTCACTTGGTTTATGGAAATTTTCTGACTATAGCAGACTAGTCACTTATATAAATATACAGCACATATATACATAGAAATTACAAAAATACATTTTATTTATATCTGATTTTTAAATTAAAAAAAAAAAAGAAATAAATTTCACATTTGTTGAAAGATTAGCTAGCATTCCAAAGGCTCCTGCAATATTTAAGGTATTGGAGCAGAAGATATCTGTATATTCTAGGATAACTATGTATCACAATCTCAGTCAGGGTTTATAATATAATTATATGGGGAAAAAAAATAGTTCTGCTTTAAAAGTTTGTGCTTCAGCAATTTCTTCTTTTATCCTCTGTTCTAGTCTCCTCTCCCCTTCTCTCATTTTATCGATGGCCAAAAGCTAAACCAAGTTCCCCTTCTCCCCTCAGTAAAGACCAAAGAAACTCAGAGAAATGAAATGATCAGAGACAAAAGAGCACAAGCAATTAAGAATAACTTAATAACTTACTGAAACGAAGGACATTACCTTTAACTCCAGTTGACATCAAACATGCCCAACACAACTAATTTTGCAACAACTTCAGTTCCCAAAGCTAATTGCTGAAAGAACTGAAAACAATTGTTCGTGATCTCCAACTAGTTTGTACAACTGCAAAAGATAAACTACGGTTTCATTCAACTGGTTTGATTCTCTTTTGGGATTGGATTCATACAACAATGCAGTTTAATAATTAGTGACCTTTATCTTGCACAATATAAAGTCAGCGTAATTTCTGGAAACGCGCTTTTTTTTTTTTTTTCCACAGAACATTAGTGTATTTGTTAGTCCACGTCGTTGTTTACTTATATACACGTTAATGTCATAATCACGTCCTCTACATTCAGAACTTCCTAGGTGTGCATTCACTGTGCCAGTGTAATCAAAATCAACTGCAGCTTCAGGGTAGCGCTTTCTGGCATCCCTTTAGTCGGTATCGTTGTTTAAGAAAGAGGAAAAAAAGCACTGTGTTAAACAGAGGTTTGCTTGTCCAAGCAGGTGCATTCATTATTCCAGGTTGGAAAGACTTGCTCAAAGGTCTCAGGTTCACCAGCTTCACATGCATTCAGACTGAAAAGCCTGAATATAGAGCAAACACAAATAACCTTTTTTTTCATTTCTCCTGGAAGCTTCTAGCACCAATATCCTTTGTTGGCTCTTCATGCATTGTATTCTCTCACGCTGAAAAAAAAAAAAAAAACCTCCCCTCCATAACTCATCAGTGGCATTGAGGGACAAGGGAGACACCAATTATCAAAATATCATTCTCCTTCTTCACAGTCTTCTCTTCTTTCACTTCTTTGTACTGTTAATAGGATGAGGAGAATCGGGGCTATTTACAGGACATTTATTTGTATTACTTACTCATCTCAAATTCTTTTGGTTTGAATACGGTCTCTAGAATGAAAAGGCTGAATCACTCTGCATTGCTGAAATCAGCATCCCTTATACAATATCCTGCAGCCCACAATTAACATTGCCACCGCCAGACCTACTGCGTGTGGCCTTTAGCTAAACATCTTCTACTGTATTTTCTTCTTTAATCAAAGTTTTGACATGCAGAAGTTATTTTCAGCCGCTCTGCCTTTGGGCCTGCAAACGAAACATCGTTGTGGCGCAGACATGTCCAGCAGCATCTCTAGTGACAGTGGGTCACGGTACAAGAGCTGATAATTGCATGTGATCCATCTTATCAGTATTAAACAGTATCTTGGCAGCTTTTCCTTAGCTGGCAAGCAGAATTTCATATCTTCAGAGTCCTGTTGCTCTGCTTGAAGTCCTTTCATAGTGTTGACTTCTCAGACAGAGAAAAACGCCACCGCTTTGGCACAATTCACAGCAAGTTTGTCACCAAAAACGAAAGGAGTCCCTTGGCTACCCCGGGTTGCACAATACAACTACTGTGCGCTAAAGATATTAGACCTGGAACTCAAACATATCTGTTTGCTTCTTGGCCAGTTTAGCAACTTCTTCTCTTATTGCCTTTACGAGGGCAGCTGTAGAAATGTTGGTGAGAGGAGCATCAGAGTGGTCATGTTCTGTCAGGCTTTGCTGAGAAGCTGCGGTGGACGGCAGAGGAGCTTGTTCCAGGCTGGGATGCATGCTCGCTTGCTGGCTGTATTGGCGAGGAAGTCGTGAAGGAGAATTGTGTTGGTAGCGGGAGCGTGGGTAAGCCTCGATGTATCCAGGTAGTGGTACCTGTAGAGCATTGTAATTATACAAAATTATACAGAACAATTGATCCACAGTGCCACCTGTCCCTGGGACAGAACAAGATGGAACAGAGAGGACCGTATGAAGAGAACGTAAACCTCATACTCCTAAGTGTCCGTTTACAAGCGTCTATCTTGGCATGTGTCTTTAATGCACATACGTCACTGTACCACGTACTCAACTCCCCAGACTGTGGCAGCAAAAACACCTAGCAGGGGAAACATTGCATGTCCTCATTTTTCATCACTGCAAAAAGGGAGAAGGCTTTTCTGGAAGTGTGTCCTCTGCTTACTGTTCCTCCGAAACATTCCAGTTTTAAACAGACAGCACCACTACATTTCAGGACACCAAAAAGCCTAGAACAGAAAAGTAGAGTTTGCTGATTTGCAGCCACTGTATAATTCAAGTCAGCCAAGTCTCTGGACTTACAGTTCCCAATAAAAACTCACTAGATCCAGACAACAGGGATAAGCTAAGGTATGCCAACCTGGAAACTCAACACTGACTTCCCCCAACTATCAGGATTTCTGGCCATGTTTAACAGAATTACATGGGGGATTCCCAACTTTACCCTGTTGTAGCTTCACTGATTTCAGCCCCAAGTTACACTGGCTAAAACTAAAATAGTAGCGTAGACTCTTTGGCCACCGTGAAATACAACATTTCCTTCACAAATCCACGAACCACGATGCCAATCTTTAAAGTTTTCCGAAGTTTTTAGCGCATCAAATAAAAAGAGAATTTATTTACGTTTTGCAGAAGTCTGTAGAACGGGAAACTACAGCCCTTCATTTTGAAGAAGGCTTTATGGTGGTATAGAAGATAACCCATAAGCTATTACTAGGACAAAATAATTTCTCCTTGAGACAAAGCTGATCATTTAGTCCATGCCAACGGCAAGTTAGGAAAGTTCAGTGACACTTTTTTATGAACTGAGTGACTCAGAAAAGTACACTAGCCTACACTACACTCAGAATACTACACTTATAAATTAAGTGGAATATTTCCACGATGTTTAATCGCTGAAAGGTTACATGTTTTTACTTTCCAAATACATTAAGGATTTATGTAACTTAGAATACAGGTGGCCAGGCAGGTGTCTCAGCTCATTTTGGGGTTTCAGTCAGGCTGAGGTGTAAGGTGCTTTACCCACCCGGGCTAATGCGTCGGTGGGTATGCCAGAAGCAGAAATTCGGAATTTTAGGTGTCTGCAAGCAGACTGAAATGTCAAAATGTAAAACATCTGCCAATTTTGTATAGCTTCTGAGGAACATGGGACCTCAGCATGGACTTCAGAATGACACCTTTGGAATTTTGCTTAAATCCCACTTTGACTCCAGCCCTGTCGAAGTTTAACAACCCTTTGGGAAAATTTTGCCACTTCGGGCATCTAAGAACCTATGAAAACCTGACCGCTAGGATTTACACATGCTCTACGCAATCTTAGATATCCATCAAGTGATGGAGAGAACGTCGGACACCTTCAGCATGGCGCGATGGGATAAACATAAGGAAACGGGCGTGGTATGGCAGTGATCATTAAATGCTGTTGCATCTGTTTAGTTTACAAAAGATTATTCAACCGGTTTAGTAGTACACATGAACACACCACTAGGGGCCACCAGGTTACTACTTTCACTAAGCCTCATCTAGCAATGGGGAAAACAAACGCTTTTTTGGATACAGTTCTCTTCTCCCACAAAATTTAGTGCTTCGCTACTTACCTTTTGACTGGGGAAATAGTACATTACAGTAAATTAAGCTTACAAGTCTTTGTTGTCAAATCTCCTGTTTCTTATGTCCCATTATTTCCAGTCCAGCTAGGGGAAATGCATGACAAGGAAGGAATTCCAATTTTCACCTTACAGATCCTAAGCCTCTGTTCTTACTAATTGTCAGGAAAACCTTGGAAGCATGATCAAGCTATAACCTAGAGGCTCAGAAACCACAAAAACATCCAGAAACTCAAACTCCTATTACTTCAGATCTTTTTTTCTTTTTTTTTTGCAGTTTTAGTCAGGCTTTCTGACTGTATTACATTGCTAACACTATTACTAGTTCCTCTAGTAATGATTTTCAAATAAAGACAATGTATTGACATATTTTCAGGCACTGGGAGGTGGAAATTCATTGTAGAAACTGAAGTGATTTGGTTTTGACATTTTTTCCTCTTTTGCAAAGTCACAGGAGGGCTGAAAGGCTGAGTAAACAGAAGCTGTTAAAGCTCTGTAATGGGTAAGCGAAGTTAAAAGGAATGTTGTTTCCTGTGAATTCTATATTGCCACAGTTGTTTGTTATATTTATCCCTCTCCGGTCCTCTCTGTACGTTCCACTGGCACTAACTGCTCTTCCCACCTTTCCCTGAAGACAGGGAAACCCACAACAGGTTTACATTCTTCTCTTTCCAGAGGAATAAACTAGGGGTTGGAAACTTGCATTTCAGTTTGTTTTCAGTCTCCCCTTCGGGCAAGTGATATCTGACTTTTTTCATGAGACTGCAGTGAAGGAGTAGGGGCAGATCAAAGGGAATAAGAATGGAAATAATTTAATTATTTTTTTTTTAATTTCTTCTTCTTGGAGAAAAAGTTTAAAATGATTGCTCAGACACAAGGGTCCTCCCGAATTTAAAATGTCAGTAGGATTAAAACCAACAACAACAAGCCACCCAAATAAATAAACTAATGAAAAGAAAAAGGGTTTCCATACTTTAAAGGGCAGCTCTGGGAAGGGAATCTGATGGCATCAAAAGCCTCCAGGTGTCAGGAACACATCAGCAGATGTGCTCAGTTTAGAGATGAACGTCTTTATTTCTTGACAGTTCAGCCTACAAATTCAGACTTGCATCTGACAGTCAAACTGAATTCTTTTCCTTGCAGGCATCAGGAAGAGTAATAAAGATTTGGCAACAAATAGCCGCCTCCAGGAACATTTATATGACTGTGTTGTCTCTTGCTTAGCTGCTCAAAGCCAACTATTAGACTCCAAATGCAATTCACTAAAATATTCTGTTGATGATATGCACAAGGAAATAGAATCCATCTCCCAGTTTGTTTAGATTAATTGGTTCTGCATAAATACCAGATGTGAGCTCGAGCAGCAGAATTGATCTTTTTTTTTTTTTTTTTTCCCCCCTAGGGGAAAAAAGCCCTAAATTTTAGAAATTGTTTCAAACATGATAAAATACTGCAATTCGTTTTAGGATGTCTCAACTATATTTCTTTGAAATATAGGTATGCATAGTTTGGGCTGAAAATTACATCTGTCCCAGGCTAGGACTGTGCAATAAATTATTTAATTTCTCATCTGTCACTGCAGCCTGCAGGAGGACTGAAAACACTGCACAGCGGCGCCGCAGCAGAGCCAGGAGCGAGGACTGAGGAGCCGGGCTGCCTTGAGAGAAGCCTCCAAGAGGAGAAGACGCTCCCCAGCTTCCAAACAGCACAAGGCCGCCTTGAAAGGCAGCATCACCTACTCCTGCCACGTGCTATCCAAATATTTAACCTCTGTCTTGGGAAAGCAAATTGATACCTAACCCACCAGCTTTATGTGGGTGCCAGCCCCTCACCCAGTGATCACTTTAATTCTCTAAAAGACCTGACAATTCGTGGGATGGACACCTAAAGTATCTATGCCACCTATGCCACCCTCTCCTAACTCTTCACTGCTAGACCATCCGGGAAAGAGTTACCTTGCTCAGATTCTTTGCTGATCATTTAGCATCACTTAAAAGCTCTCCTCTGCGAATCACAGAAAATATATGTAGTTAGAAAAGCAAGGATGCTTACTGAGTCTGCCCACTGCCCTGGTAATTCATTCTCTCCAGCATAGGGCATCCAGGCTTGGTTCCTGTATGCAGTGGGTGGTGTTGGGATAAAATAGCCTGTGAAGCCTGGTCGGTTTGCTGCTGGTATGGCAAATACTGCTGGTACGGTATTTCCTATTAAGAAAGAGAGTACATATAATTAATAACTGACATTTTTCAATGCTTATGAAATAACTGGCCTTAATAATTTTAATTTTTTTTTTTTTTTTACCATCTGACTAGAACATCTCTAGAATGCTGGGAAATACTGCAGAAAGATTATATAATAATATATAATACATAACCATAAACAGCCTTCAAATCAAGGTATGAGGACTTAGCCCTTAGGCCTTGATCCTTGCAACAACTGATCTTCATCAAAACTTTGAATTGTTAGAAAAAATAAACCACCTTTTTTTCCTCTTATATTTGCTCCCTGCTTCCTTGCATCCAATTTTTAGCTATAGTTACCAGGAGTTTTGGAGTAGGGCACCTTTCTTTTCAACAGCAGGTTACAGAGCATTCAGTTTACCTGGTGGAAGTGTCTTAATATCTCTAGGCACCAAACCTACAAAAATGAGTGACATTTAAAAGACTGCAATCTCAACAATCCCATCATAAAACTTCAATGCTTCCATTAAAAATACCAAGGCCCTACCTTGCTCGATTCCTTTTCCGGGAACCGTCCATGACCACAATAAATTATGCAGCTACAAATTAACAGGAAACTTGCTGACACCAAGCCTGTTTTATCACACCTTGATCAAGATGTATGCGTAAGGATGTCCAGGAAACCTTCTACTAACATTTCACTGTCACACTCCAAGTGGAGTGGGAGAAACCAGCCTTCCCAGTACGAGGTTTGGCCAAATCTCTGGAGATGTTTAGACCTGCTCTTTCAGGTAGGGTTTATAAATGGGACTCTCAGAGATGCAGAGAACAACGTGGTGCAATTACTCAGATTATCCACAGGCTCTAACTGGGCTGTCTGGAAGACCAACACCTTCCTGCATGCTCCCACTATTTCCCTTGAGAGAAGCCATCGTTACTCCATGTATTTGCCACGTTGAAAGTACAAACAACTTGCTTTTCCAGTGAGACTTCCTTCCTCTAGTGTCTGTTTACTCATGAAGGCAGACACCAGCAATATACCACAGCTACGTTAATGTCACAGAAATCCTCACTCCTAAACCCTGGGTGGGAAGGCTCTACATCATCTTTATCAGGCAGTAAACAAAGCGTGTGGAGAGTGTGTTTTGAGTACTCAGTTATAATACATGGACACGTACTGTACTTTTCAGATTCACAGAATATAGAAAAATTAACATCATTTATGTGAAAAGCAGAAGAGCCAGTAATCCCCATAACACAAAACACAACTCAAGCGTTTTCACTGAGGAATGGGAGTACAGTAACATTGGCTAGATGGGCACCAGCTCTGGACTAGACTCAATGCAGAGAAAATACACTCCCCCTCCTTCCAACTGCACATCGTTTGAATATTGCCACTAATTGCTCTCAGTAGGTATGAGAGAGACGGAAGAGATGCCAACAAAGTGGCAAGACTTGGGCACTCTCCCAAACTTCACACAGAGAATAACTGATAGAAATTAGCATCGCTGATGGGCTGTTTCAAGTATTTGTCCCCCAGAATGTCATTTACAGCCCTTGCACATCCTTGCTCCTGGACACTCTGTAAGGGGGTTACGCTGCCTGCTCTGATGGATGCTGGGAACACCGCACAGGCGCACGCACAGAAATAGAAAGACTCAAACAGTGACGCCCATCCCCACAGCAATCTCCACAAAACCGGTGATTTTTAAGTCCTCAATGACCTCCCATGCGGTCCTAGCTACGAATGCAATCAGGGCTTGCTAAGAGGAGAAAAATATATTTTGTAGCACATTTCTTCCCAGAGCAAAAATCTGTTTCAAGACTGTCTCAAAAAAAAAAAAAAAAAAAAAAAAGGAAGAAAAATGAGGGATACATCATCCAAAATATAGACTAAAAACTTCTATGTTGTGATTGACATTTACACAGTGTTTTCTACTGGTAGGGATTCAGTCCGAGCTTTCATTTTGACACTGGGTTGCAGTGCCTTTCACCCATGTCCGCGAGGATGCTGGCGTCACTCAGCCATCGCAGAAGCGATCACGGTGGAATTGCTATGGATCGCTGCGATCTCTGATGTACACCTGCACAGCAAGTAGCCACGGGGTATCTCACGGGACCTCTATCCCGATTCCTCCAGCCCCTTGGTTTGGAAGGACACAGGCTAAGAGATGGGAGCAGTCCTTGTGCTTCCCAGATCACAGACAGCACGAAGTTTGCTATTTTAAATGAGTCAGCAAGGCTGGAAATAAATATTCTTCAGACATGTAGAGGAGAAAGTGCTCCTCCTGTAGATGACATGTGGCTTCTACACCACAATGCTCTTCTGTTCATTTAACCGCACCAAAACGAGCTGCTATTCAAACTGAACACTTAATTAGCTGATGCAATACCTTATCCCAATTCTTACCGCAACAGCATTAACTCAGAGCCGATGTTGATGGGCTGCATGAGAGCAACATCAGGCCGTTTCATGCCAAGCCAGCACCTGCAGCAACGTTTCTTCACGTATTGAGGAAATAATTTTTTTTTTTTTCCTATCAGAAATCTTTGTATTAAAGTTGCAGGTTTCTCACAACTCTCCTTGTCTTTCCCTGTACTACAGCCTTTGCTAACATCTATCATATACGAAAGTTTCCTCCAACTACCCCCAGAATTATTCTGGGAAACTCCGCAATGTACCCGAAGGTCACTTGGTCTCTTCTGAAATGCAGCCATTCCTCAGTGGTAACATAACACGCCTGCTTGAACATACAGCAGTAAAACCTCCCCATCACTGTAAACGATGAAAAAGCCCATATCACACACAACACCCTACTGCAGACACGGCGACCGAGCTCTTGGTAGTGTGGCGTATTTATAGCTTCAAATGCTTTAAAATGAAAGGCTGAGCATCTGCTCTTTTCTGATTCACACGCACCGTTTGCCGAAGGTATGACAAGAAAGTAGAACCTACTATAATTAATTGACAACAGGTTTGCATAACGTTATTATTCTCAGTAAAGCCGAATACAATGCAGATAACGCTGTATTGCTTCTGAGGAAGCTAAGAATTTTATTTTTTTTTTTTCCTGGCAGATGAACAGAGCAACGCCTAATAAACCTACTAATTTCAAAACTTTGAACTGACAATGTAAGTCAAAAAAAAAAAAAAAAAAATCTTGTAAGGTCTTTTCTATAGCTCTTCCATAAAACATATTTTGCCAATGAGAAGCTATTTCAAATATTTTCCCCAGCTAAATGTTATCCAGATACCATCAAAACAGTGTACCCGCTTAACCTCATTATTAAATCAATTCATTCTTAAACAAAATTCATATCAAAAGGACCAGGAACTCACTAGACCTTTAACACAGGGATGTTTAGACCCCAAACAAGTTCTGCGCTTGAGTAGGAACCACGTTGTCCAGAACAGGAGGGGAGACAGCTAATGGATTACCTTTGACCACGCAAAAGCACTGCTGCCTCGTGCTTTGAAGGGAAGGGAGCGCGCACCTTCAGCTTGCCCCCTCAGCAGCCCACGGTTGTGATGAGGGGTTGAGTTTCTCAAGAGGAAACAGGGAATCAAAAAAAACACCTCATCCCACAGCCAGGTTGGAAAACCTGTCTCGCACACTCTGTTCTTCACAGCCACTTGGTTTTCCTCCTTTTCCTTAGAAACCAAGCAGAGCTGAATGCCGTTAAGCCTCCTTCTGCAGTACTACTTACAGCTCCATTGTACATACTCTGGTTTTTAGCACTTGACCTGATATTCTTGACTGATAAAATTATGGAAGGATCCACCCCATTTCTCCATGCCCCTCGGGACCCTGGTACCCATCTCTCCCACTTTGTTTCTGTACAGGGTGCAACACAAAGTGCGAGTCACACAACAGTCCCAGTACTGCAGCTTCTGCTAGCCAACACCCTCTGTACCACCCGTAAAAATTCCACTGGGTTTTGTGGTACAGATGAACTCGTTTTATGGGCTTTTAATTCAGAGTTCTTATCAGTAAGCCAGAAGAATGGTCCTGGTGCTTCTGCACATGAGTAGTAGTTTACAATGCAGCTGATGCTGCATTTACAAAGGAACAATCCTTTGTAGGTGTCCTTTAGTTGTACCAGACAGAAACACCTAATAGAGTCTCTCCCCAAATAATCATCTCTATTTGCTATATCCCATACACTCACTTATATGCAAAATAAATTGTGAGGCTCTCAAAGGTCTAAGTTGGATCTGCACTGTTTTTTCACCTGAGTGAAAAGCTGATTGATCAAGTGGACCAACAGACATCGGAGCTCTCGAACCAGCTGCAAAAGATGCCTGATCATGATGCTGGGCCTGATCTGCCCCACTGGACTCCGGTATTCTCACTTTGCTGCCAATATCTGATGTAGACCTGTGCATTAAGAAAGAAAAAAACCAAACAAACAAACTTTTGTCATTCTGACTGGCAGATAAGATTCATACCTACACGCATGCTTAACAGCTACAGCCAGCTGGGAACAAGCTACCTAATTTTGCTCTGGCATGACAGAATTTTGGAGAACTGTCAAACAGTAAGTCTGGAGGTCTGAGAACAACTGGTCACTACTCTGCTACTACCGTTGCACAGAGTCTTTGCTTGCTGCTTCAAACAAATGCCTGTGCCATGTAACACAAAGCCCAGAGCTTTACCGTAGTTCATCAGCACAAAACTGTGGGCAATACCTTATTACTACAGTATACATGACATGGTATCACACAGTAGGAGACGACTGTGGTTAAGTAACATTACCTGCACTGGGGAAGTATTAACAGCCTTTGAAACGGTCTGGCCCAGTTGCTTTAGAGCAATGTAATGGACAAACAAGAACATGTCAACAGACAGTGTCCACATCCTGAATATTTGGATGCAGTTACAAGATCATCAGCAGTCTCTCAGAAGTTTCCTTTGGCCTCGGGCAGTACCTAACAGCACAGCACTGAAGGCTAAAGGACTTCACCCACCACAGAAATATAAAAATTCCTTGAAATGCATTTTATAGAGCGCCTCACTGTGAGGAAGAGGCAAAATATATGCACGGAGCTAAGGCGATCGGGCTTTTTTTACACATATTTCACTTCAGGAATGCAGGTATATCTGAAAAAAAATCCCCAGACCCAGAGTACTGAGAGAAACATCTTACAATTCATCCATATCCCATCCCCTTGCAAGTCCTTACAACAGAAAATAGCAGGGAGAATGACAGCGCGAATTATCTACCACACATCTGCAATACAATAAGCCATTATGCCGGCTGAAGCAAAACGTGTTTTAAAAGGAATTGGAGCCTGGATTTCTTAATTTTATTGAAACTGATTAGCTAATAGAAAATTCATTGTTACTCCTTTCTTCTTCATGTTAAAATGAAACAAACCCAACACGTTTCTAATTTCACAAATGTGTCTTTCAGTGCCTCATAAATGGCTTGTAAATGCCCCTTCAGGGTTTGCCCTGGTTCTTATTACAACAGTGTGTTTTTTAGAGACCATACCTAAAATAAAACAACAGATAAATACCTCCTGAGAGAGGCAACAGCCACAGGACCTGTTCTGGGAGGGACAGGAGGAGGAGGAGAACCCATTACCATCTCAGGAAGCTGAGAAAATCTGTAAGCCTGTAAAGGAGAAAAATAAGTATTTTCTGAAACATCAGTAGATATCAAACTAAAAAAACAAACAAACAAAAAAAACAAAACAAAACCACACACAAAAAAAAAGAAAGTCAGAAATTAGATACCTGCTTGTGCTGGCCAACAGAAAGTTAACTTTTTGTGGCATCAATAGTAATTTCATTTTATTTGAGAATTTACAGCACTTGCGTGATTTTAGGACGTGGAAGAAAACACGAACAAATGAGCTCAGAGCTAAGGTGAAGTCTAATTAAAATAAAACATATCAAACACTGTCCCTGTGACATTTGGAACCTTGTTGGTAAAGCAAATCTGTTATGATTATGTTGAGACTCAACAGCTGCTTTGGACCCACAGGAAAAAAAAAAAGATCTTGGTATTTTCACTTCCTCCCGAAACAAAATATTTTAAAAATTCAGAAAGCATTGTTCAGAGCAGCATCTAGTGAAGTGAAGCTGCCCGTAAGCAACGCATATTTCAACCTCTTCCTTTCAGCCTTGAAGAGATGAAAAGAAAATTCTTCACAAAACCCCCCCAAGCTCTGTAACTTTCTAAAGCACTAACAAAGGTCTCAGTCAGTCCTGAAAAAGCAGAGCAATTCAGGGGAACACAGGGCCAACCCGCTAAATCACAAAACTAAGCGTCTCGCCTGTAGTAATTCTGGATTTCATCACTAATACACGTGAAGGATGGGCATGAAAACCATGGCACCCAAGAAATGACACGTAGGACGGAATGTCTCTTCTGAATTCTTTGTGCTCTTGTAGATTAGAGTCATAATTTTGTTAAGCATAATTGAAGACAGAGAGGTGATCTCTCTTTAGCGCTTTGTTGACACTTCAACACATTGTGGGTTGGGAGGGGGGGTGTGGGCTTAATTCTGCTTTTATTGACAATGCTTCAGAGCAGCGCAGAGGATTAAAGATACGATCGGAGCAATAGAAAACAACGTATTACAAGGAGGCTGTCCGGTGTCAAGACATGGGCATTCCGACCAAAAAATACGAGTCCGAAGTCCAGTGGTGGGACTTTGGCCCTCTAAACAAGAGGTATTTGGTTTAACCAGAGAAGCTCCCACCACAGACAGCAGAGAAAGCTAAAAAAACATTACCATGGGATGAGTCACGCTCTGCCTCCTGCCTGTGGAGGAGCCTACAGAATTTACGTGATTAGCTCAGACTTAACACCTACATCTAGGTTTGAATTTGGCAATATAAATCCCACACTAAACATCAAAACCTTTCAGTAATCGTATTTTAAAGTGACACATTTAGACAGCGTTCCAATACCTTCTTTCTCAAACCGCTGCAAAACGGGGTTAACGCAGAGGAAAGGTACCATCAAATACGGACTTTTGATGTTGGTGCCTCTGAGGGAAAAGCAATACAGACCAAGCATCCTTCTCCCGCCTCTCACAGCCACCTCTTTTAAAGCAGGGTAGAGTCCCTCAAAGGCATGTCTGTGAAAATTATTTTTCCTTTCATGCCACCTACAAAATTTCCTAATATTTACTTTCACCGTGCTACGATGGTATTTAAAGTATTTCTATATTTAGGTGGGTAAAAAAAAAAATAAATCTAAAAAAAACAATTGTACATCTCCTAGCTAGGGGTTGGAAATACTGATTTTAACGAAAGAACTGCATAGAAAAACAAAAGCTATTTGCATCGAAGAAAACCTCAATAGATTTATAGAAAATTAGAATATAGAATAATAGAAAATTAGACTTCTCCTAATTGCACTGGACTTGAAAAGGTCCGAAATGCCTCTTCTGCCTCTGAAAAGCTGGCAGTGCTCTCTCAGGCTGAACAAACCTCTCACCCCACATCTTGCTCAAAGCATGCATTTGTACCAAGTATGAAATTTTTTTTTTTCTTCCCCTCTTTTTTTTTGCTATATTTTAAAGGAACAGCACATAAGCTAATGTTTCGGAGTGGTTGGTGACTCCAGATACTGTTGGTAGACAAGGACACAGAGGTAGATTGGGGTTTTCTCTTGTGTGTTAGTGGATCTGCTTTGGAATATGGGTGTCAAAGGAGGCATTTTAAGGGATGACAAAGACCAGGTCATAAGTGTGCTGCGACTGGTACTGAAAAATTTTGTGGGGAAAAAAAGTAGAAAATTGAAGCATTTATTTTGCTGCTTATGTAAGAGCTGGCCAGTTTTGAGTGAGTGGCAATCTTTTGCTAATGGCTATGCAGAGGGAATCCTGTTCAGGTGAAAAATCCTGTTAGAAGATCTGCTAAACCACGGCCAAGGAACAGTCCCTTCTGGGGGATGGCAGTCAGTCCCCTCTGTGCTGAGCTTCCACAGACAACAAAATGATTTCAAGAGGGAATGCCAGTATTTTCTAGAATTTCTCCAATGGGATGGGGCATCACTGTTTGCCTGCATGCAACACATGAATGGAAGAAAAAAAAAAAAAAAAGTGTTCAGAGGCTAAATTAAACTGAAGTTTTACTATAGAGGCCCGTCTGTTATAGATTTAGATGAGCTCTTCAGTTCTAGACTAACCGGCATGACTGTAGAAATAGTCACTTCACTGAAATTGGTGCGCTGCTGTAACTCCAATCAGAAAAGAACAAAATAAACAGCTGATTTAACAGAAAAAAACCCACCTAAATTTATTCTTCAAAATTAGTTTATCCTTTAAAAGAGTTGCATCACTCCTGTTGTTCACCAGAAAAAAACAAACAAACAAACAAAAAAACCAACCTAACAAAACTACTTAAAAAAGAGAAACAACCTGCATGAATCCCAAACTGTTATTTGTTGAAAAATGAGGATTTGTACGATACAAAGACTATAACAATCAGCGTCAGAAATAATCAAATCTGAGATTCGGGACAGACCGCGCAGGTACGGGACTGCGGGACCCACGGCACCCTTTCAGGGAGAAACGTCAGTGAAGGAGTCTGTTGTGGCTAAAACACTGACAATTTAAAAAGCCAGCCGGTGAAGAATTTTTTAAAAGTACTAATTGCAGTTTTCCAGAGAAATTTCAGCTCTTAGGCCCACGGGCCATACAGCACAACCCTCTGAAAGATCAAGTCCAGCAGATTCCTGCGCCAGTGTCTCCTACAACCCGCTAAAGCCTAAGGTACCGCCTGTCAGGATGCAGGGGAGAAAAGTTAAATCAGCACAGAATAACTACAGTCTGAAAGGAAAAAAAAAAATTAAACTTAGCTTTAAGGCTACGTTTCCCTGGTTGCACTTTTAAAAATATTTTAGGATTTTAAAAATGTTATTAAAAATATTTAGATTTGTCTTGGATGAAGTTATTCAGTGTCGCCGTCTGTTTACAGGAAGAACCACCTCCTTACATCTCCGCATCGGAATTAAAAGGGCAGCGCCCGTGTTTACTCACTGAATGATTTAACTGATTTGATTATTAAATTGTAATCCAGGAATAACGCAAACTGATCTCAGCTAGATTTGGGTTTGCTTCGCTAGCTGTCCTGTTTTACACTTAGTTTAATAAATGTTACCGAAGGAGGCTGAACTTTGTTAAAATACTCTACGTCTGCTGAATGAAGGGAAGCTCTGAGGACTTGGACACGTTACCAGTCACTCAGCCTGCGAGTTTATCCATCGGTGCCTGGTTTACGGTGCTAGGTCTCACCTTGGGAGCTCTTGTTACTCTCACTCCTCTTTCTAGAGCACTAAAAAGGAGAGATGGGAACTGGTCCAGCCTTGCAATAAAGAGGTTTGGGTTGGTTGGTTTTGTTTTGGTTTTTTTTTTCCCCTGGCCATACCTCTCTGCTTGACTGAGCTGCACAAAGTGCCAAAGCAGTAACGTGATCTGCCCGGGCACAACGCTGGCTGTCAGGCTTGTGTTACACACTCGACTCTAGCTCCATCCTCCAGTCATAGTATACCAGCTGGATGACAAGGACCCTACCAAGGGTTTCTCTTCCCATTTTTGGAGGCTCCACAACCACACTAAGAGTTTGCATTTTACTAGTTTTCCTCTGCCAGGAGAAGGCACTAGCCCCATATGAAGGAATCCCGTTATCACAGGTTACCCGCGGGCAGTTTGGCAAACAGGCATTCCCTTGTAAGAGCTACAAATAATTTAGGTATTAATGGTAGAATGTAAAAAAAACAAAAACAAACCCAAACAAACCCACAACAACAACAACAAAAAAAAACCACCAAAAAATAGAGAAGGCCTCCAAAGGGAAAAGAAAAAGGAACAGAAAAAAGAAGATGCATGCACACTCTGGAGAGATACACAACTCTCTGATGGTGGGACTAACCAAGAAGTTGACTGCAAAAAAATTAAAGATCCGTAACTTGGACGACACCTGAAGAAACACAGACCTGAAGAGTGGTTCTGGTCCCCTGACAGCATATGGCACAAATACTCAGGAACAGAAGCAAACACTCAGATGGAGATTTGCATGCAAATTTTTGGCTGTTTTGCCTCAATCTGTTTAGCATTTGTGCTTTTATAAAGGTAGAGCATGTTTGTGCTAGAAATCTTACACAGCGCTTGTATCGCCTAGGAAAAACCTTTGCATTAGGTTTCATAAAACCTAAAGGTGCGCTCCCACAAACTGAAAATTTTTTGCGATCTTGCAAAAAGTTTAGTCTAGTAACTGGTCCGTGAAGAGCCAGATCTCAGAAGAGAGTGACGGACTGAAGACTTTTATATTTGCCTTGTATCCAAAGACCCACCAGTAAAGCCAATGTCTGCATTTGTTCCATCTAAGCAGGCAAAAATGCTCTTGAACCCAGATTTCAAATTATAATAGCATTGTTAATGTTGACTTTTAATTGCCACTAAAAACCGAATTTTAAGAAAGGGCAACAATTAAAAAAATAAAAATAAAAAAATCTTGGTTTGCAGAGTTAACATCCTCCCCTGTATAACAAACACCCCAGTGCTCAGGTACTTCCGATCCCCAAAGCTCACTGAGCCTGGACACCTCCTCCACACGTCAGCCAACCCGCTCTCGAGCGCTCCCCATCCCGGCGTCGCCCGCAGAGCTGCGGAGCGGAGGCATCCTGGGCAGACAAACCGCTGCCAAGTTGCTGAGAGCAGTAACTCTGCCATGTTTTTCCTACCCACAGCTCACTTCCCACACATATCTCAGCTGGATATTTTCAATTCCAACCCTCCGTTCCCATTTGAGAACAAACCAGGAAATGGTGTGGTTAAAGTACAGCTCGTTTTTGTGAAAACTGAATTAACGGCCCTTATCAGTCCAGCAGCCTGTGCCCACCCTAATCTGTGGCAATCAGCTATCTTCGGGGAACTCTTTATCACTATCTTCAAAATGCCAGAGAGATAATGCTTAAATGTCCTAAACATGCAGATGATTTAGAAGAGTAATAAGTCTTAGGAAAAAAAAAAAAAAAACACAGTGAAGCATTCACCAAAAAAAAAAGTATGGCTGTTACATTGTTGGGTTTATTTTTTTCAAAAAAAACCCCCATCACCTATAATATTTTTAATTTCATTTTAGAAAGACTCTGAAACGTTAAAGGAATCTGACTCCCTATTAGCTGTCTCTTAAGCTTGTAATCGAATTCTAACCATAAAACATGATTATATGATGCATGAGGTTCATTGGACCAATTTCAAAGTGCCAGAAATAACCTTTAGCGTGATTTAAATAGCACCAGCCTGAACCTTTGCAGGCAGTGCCGCTGGCTTTCAAATATGTTCAGAATAGTTCGGATGCAGCATCCCTTAATGTATTTTTTTTATTGTGATGGAAGGAAGCCATAGTAACAGTTCATTTGAACTGAGGACATTTTTGCATTATCCTCTTATTCCAGCCAAAGTAAGAGACTGTCTGAAATGCATTCTTTCCAAAAAGTGCTCATTTCCAACCAAAAAAAAAAAAAGCCTGAAAAATAAAAGTTCACACTGATATTGATAGACGGGATATTCCTTATCTGAAACCAGTCATCTCTGGTTTAGATTTGTACCTGACATATGAGAAGGAAGGTATGTTGTTGAGTTTCGCAACACCATATGTGGGAATTGAGGGGCAGTTTCACGTGCCGAGGGTGTGCACAGTGCTGCTTCAACGTCTGCCTAGATACCTACAAAAATTCCATCAACAGTTCCCCCCCATGGATTTAAGGTCTGAATGCGTTTGTTACTTCTGTGAGAGAAGGACATTTTAGCCACAGTTTGAGGCTAGGAAACGAAGGATAAAGAGTGACTTACGTAAAGTCAACCAAGAAACTCACAGAATTGAACCATCTCTAGAGTCCCAAGTCAACAGCTACAACTGCCAGATTGCCCATAACATCCCACATTTCAGATCCGATTATTACTCTTGGTTCACTCGCTTGCGATGGTGCTCTTCAGTGACAGACCTCGTGCAGAAGCGTTGAATGTTTCATACCCAGATGCCTACAAAGCTGTTCTACAAAACCAGGCTGCTTCCTAGTACACGTTCAGTAAGCAGGAGGAGACGTGCAAACACGGTCTTGACTTGTTGAACAGCCTGGAGCTTAGCGCAGCCTACTCCTTCAAGCACAATTTAGACAAGACGACCTTGTTCCTAAAATAGATACTGAGTCTTCCTGCAAGAGGTGGGTATGGGTAAGCATACATACATAAACCCCACTACTCAAACTTATTTACGGTAAGCATGGCTTTACATCTGGTTTTAAGCATGTAAACGGGGCGACTACTTTAAAAAAAAAAAAAATCTGTCTCATAGTAGAAATATCTTTATGATATTACAATATACTAAAGAGAAGTTTCACTTACTGGTCTTGGTAAACTGTACTGATACATTTCTGGCCTGTATGTGGGTACCCACTGTACCCCCCCTCTAGGTCGGGTCATGGTACCAGGAGCACTGGTCACAACCTCCGAGTAGGGCAAGTGCGGTGCTGAGCTGTACGCCTCCTGCCTGCTCTGTCCTCCGTGGCCCGCAGAGGCCAGGCTGAAGGCCTCTTCCAAGAGCATATGCATCTGCTGTCGAACCTCATCAATGGAGGGCTGAGAACTTAAAGTTGAGGTCTCCGAGTGGCCTTTGGCCTGACGGGACCTGGTGTAACTCCGAGGCTCGTTGACACGGTCAACATTTGTTTCTTCTATAATTTCAGGCTCAGTCTGTTGGATGGAATAAAAGCATGTATACGTAAAAAGCTTTACAAGACGGCGTTTTGTGTGAAGCAGCACAAATATTCTCAAACACAGATGTAACGTACACAAAGTCAGGAATTGTGACAATATAGACACACGACAAATATTGGAAAGGAGCGATATGATGCAGGCGAGTACAATAGACTTTTATATCCTACATTGGTTGCTGCAAAAACTAGGAGGGACACTCTGTAGCAGATTAAACTGTCAGTGATTCACTAAAACAATCAGAAATAATGTTTAAATTCTTTCCTTAGTGGTTAGTATCAATGGGAGTACAACTGTGCCAGGAGGAGTATGGCTCCCTAAGTCATACCAATCACTACGAAGGACCCCTTACAAAGGGACCTCTTGTTACAGCTACGGAGATTGAAATTCTTTTGTCCATTCTCACATGTTAAGATGTCAGAAGAATTAAAGTTTAGGAGTTTGCCTGAAGTTTCTAACCCAGCGAGGACCACCACCAATGATGCCACAAACTAGGACCTGTCCCTCACAGAAAATAATCTTGACCCAGATCAGTCATCTTACCTAGTCACCAAACAGCAGTTACACAGAAATTTAGCCCAAACCAATGTGGGAACAGTGACCGAAGCACGTACTCTAATGAGCAGGTAGTGCCCTGGCAGCTTTACTTGAAGGGTTACTCCTAGGGTAAATCCTTCTATACAGATAAGTGCAAACAAAAATCACCCCACTGATATTTTTTTTTTTCCCCTTTAACTCCAAGACAGAATAAGTCATTATACTGTAAGAACTTTACAGCAGAAATACCTAACTTCATCTATATTCTGTAAGATCAGTTTTACAACCTTATAGTTTTTAAAAGTACCTTTTAAACAGGCAACCTGAAAAAGCAACCAATTCCTTCTCATTCTTTCAACAGCATCGTAAGTACGTTTTACTGATAACTGGAACGAAGAAGAGGATGTGTAACTCCTCCTATACATAGCATGTGGTTAGAATTGTCTTGGCATTTCGAAGAGCCACAAATAAAATAACACAACAGGATGTTCTTACTAAAAATTCCAGCGCTATCCTGACAATTTGAGTGCTCTGTAACTCCTAGAGCAGCACACTTTTTTTTTTTTTCCCCATGTAACAGTGAGTTTCTATATCTAGTCTATAAGTGTGCCCCCAACCTTTTGCAAGCTGAGTGTGATCTTATATACTTCTAGGACAACCACAGTACATATTAATTTGCAGAGGAAAATATCAACCCAACTTTCTTCTTTTGTTATCAGCCGTTCAGAGAAGAGTTATGTGGTTAGCCTAAAACCTGACAGTATATTTAAATAAAAGATGTTAATTTGTTTTCTCTCTTAGCTGTTTTAAGTAGATTTGGTACTTAATGAAAATAAAGCAATAAAAAAGGAAAATTAGGACAATCGTTTGCATATTAGAATTTAACGATAATTTATATGGTTATGCGATCTATTATTCAAACCAAACTTTAGGCTTCCTACACACGTCAGCCTGGGGGAGGAACAATGTCACAGCACAAAGTTATCCTAAACTGAAAAATCTTCAACTGAACAGTTTCCCTTCATTTTCTTCCTGCATTTTGATTCCATTGTTATTTGCGTTACAGTAAATAAAAATCAGGTAAATTTTAGAAGCCTGACTATAAAATGCAGCGATACCTTTGTATAAGTGCAACCAAAGAGCCTCTGAAATCATAATGTCCAAACCGGATGATTAATAACCAGAGTTCTTCTATTTCCTCATGCCTATAAAAATGCCAGTGAATGGAATCCCACAAGAGACCTATTATTACCCAACGCTGAAATAAATCAGGTTCTCTACTGCAACCCATTAGACCTCTATAGAATGTCTGAAACGTATCGTATGAGTAAAGGATGGATATTAGCAGTCAACATGAAGTCAGCTTTGATTTATCGATATAGAAGTTGGTAGGAAGGTTTTGGAGGAGACTGGTGACCATTCCTGTTTTTAATCACTTTCTGATGTACGTCACTGGCTTTCCTGTCAGCTGAAACACGTATCATAAATAGATGCCGTTATATGTTAACGTTACCGTTATAATAATCCAGATATTGTTCATACACAGTTACCATATAATACGAGGAACTGGAATTCCATGAAAAAGGAAAAGAAAATCCTGCACTGAGAGACAGACACTTTTGGCATGACTCTGCTGCTACAACTATATCAGCAAAATTCTTCACGTGAACAGCAGTCTGTAAGATTTCTGAGGAATTGCATTAATTTAACTATATCGATAAAATCATACCAGTAAATTCTATTGCATTTTGATCTCTTGGATATGTATAGTAAGGTCGTTTTCTTCCTCTTACACCAAAACCAGCCTAGATATTTTCTGCGCTTGCATGAACCTCGTCAGCAGGTTTTAGACTCTTCTCATTACAACGTTTGCTCTACTCACAATTGTCTGTGAACGTGTTGGAAATAATAAACACGTTAATCAAGTCTCCTTAATCTACCTCCTAGGTGAAGGTGATGTAGTAAACCCTGTTGGGATTATTTAAAATTGAAAGATATGTACTGTTCAGTAATAATCCATTTATAAAAGATGCTATAAAGGCAAATAATATACTCAGAACATCAAACCGTAGAACGTACACTCCACAATAACGCAAAAAGCTACTCATTCTGTACAGACAGCACGTAACTATTGACCTCATATCCTGACCAGTTTTTAGCTCTGAGAAACAGAACTATGATTCGGAGAAATATCATAAAAAAAAAAAAAAAAAAAAAAAAAAAATCATTGTGGAGAATGAAATAGTTTTAGAAAACCATAACTGAAATATTAGAAGTTTGTTATGTAAGGGGAATAAAAAACACATAAATAAATTAAAAAAAAAATCGGTGGTGTGGAATGGCAGATTTCTGAGCTCTTACTTCCCTCTGCTATTTAAAGGTCAACGCAAAATCATGCAGCTCAAACTCTCACAATCTGGTCGTGCATATAAGTCTAGCAGTTCTTAAGCAGCTTTCTTAAAGAATCTGGGGAGATCTTAGTCTCTTTTGTTAAAAATATCTATATATTTATCATTGTTGGAAAGATAAACCTCGACACATAACGGGGCCATACTAGTAACAGCTCAACAGAAAAAAAACAACTATTTTGTTAAGCTGTAAAAAAAAAAAACAAAACTCATGACTTGAAGATTATATGAGCTACCTGATTCATCAATTTAATTATTTGGAACTGCTTATAAAAACACAAATTTCGCTCTTTTTTAGCAGAACTTGCTGCTAAATAATGTACTGGGAGGAAGAGGTTAGCAGGGGTCTGAGAAGGCTGGAACCTTTAGAACAGCAAAGTGGCTGTCACAGAATGGCACCAGATGTGACTAAGAAGAGAAAGGACCCAAGGTTCGGCACACAAACCAGCCTTTTTTCACCCATTTTCAGAGGTCGGGTTTACAGAGGGGTTTAGTTGCACCCCTGGTGAGATCCCTACGAATTCTGTGCACAAATATAGCCACAAGTGCCCACCCGCGGGTATCCTGGGAGACCGAGACTGTCAGACACTTGGCACAGCTCTGAGGAACCTCGAACGGGAGTGAGGAAAACCAGCCCACGCTGAGGCTCGGGAACTAAATTTCAATATCCTGTCCCATTTTCCAGGCAATTTCTCTGCTTTCAGCTGGGAAAAACATTCAGAGTTAGGAGAGGTGCACTGCGGTGAATCTGCAGCGCACATCGGGCAAAAGGAATTTTATCAGTAAATTTTAAAATTTAGCAGTAAAAAAAAAAAAAAAGACCGTGCCACGGACAGCCTGTGCAACCGCCACGTTCAAAGAAAGGCAAAAGCAAACCTGTGCGTGACGTGCGCAGATCGCAGCGTTGATAATTACTTTTAGGACATTTCAGAATCTGCACATACTCGCTAATCTACTTTCAATTTGCAAACTTTCTTTAAAAATTCACTTTATATATAGAATATGTATTAAAATGTATTATTTAAATATTACTATTTATAGCATATTAATTTTGAACTAATAGCAGGAGGCCATGCCTGCTCCCAGAATGCTTTCAACATTCGTTTCAGGAAAATATCACCTACAAAAAAAAAAAATTAGCTTTTCTTAGCATATTAAAAAAAATAAAATCCCATGTTTCTTGAAACATGATTTTCAGGATACTGAGGGAAGGCTGGCTCGGTAATGTTTTTATGTAAGAAAGCTCCAAAAATAACGGTAACATTTAAGGGGCAAGGGTGTGTGCAAAAATATTTTCTCAACACCTATTTCAACAGGTTATATCTTTTTTAAAATTTATTTATTTATTTTTCAGGCTAAAGCGATGTATTCTAACGCCCCAGAAAGCAGCGAACCACTCATCCCACCTACATGGCACGTGACACATGCAAGCCGATGGGAAGTGTCCAAATGCAGGAAATCACTTCAGAAATCTGACACCCACAGCATGCCCCAAAGAATTCTGTAAAAGATTTAAAGTTCCCTGAACACATCCCCTGACCTCAGTACATTCCCCCACCTTGTTACAAACACATCCCTGGCAGCTGAGAGAGTCGACAATTAAGCCCCACACAAAACGCTTCTCTCCTACGGAGTTTAGAGGATGAATAACCATCGTTTCCGTATTTCCCAGACTGGTTTAAACCTTTTCTAGGGACTGATCTTCAGGGATGGCTGAGCTACGGCGTTTTGTACATGTGACAAAGGATTGAAAAAAATTCTAAATTATTCCAGTGCAGGGCGATTTTGATCCTCATTCTGATGTCAACTTGCACCCAGCGTACGCTCAGACTGCACAAGGCAGATGAGCTGTCTTGTGTTGGCTGCACGTGTTCCTTGGACCATAAACCAGCATCTCCTCTGGCTGGTTTTGACATTTACCTACGCGAAACTCTCCCAGCGCTGACGTAGTGAGAGGACAATATCTGTTCCTAGGGGATTTCCACAAAACACTGCCATCAGGACTTAAGTGAAATTTCCAGAAGTTGGTTGTTCATTCTTCTGAATCAAGAGAGCAGCATCAGAGGTACAGAACAAACTAGAGGGGTTTAATTGTAACGGAAAAAAACCTCAGCATCAAGCAAGTGGATAGAAGAACTATCAAAATTCAATCCTTTGGCCACTAATGAGTTTCAGGGTGAACGTTTTGTTTGCATTTCAGGCTGTAAGATGTTGTACAGCTATAACATATGTGAAAATCTGTGATCGCGAGCTTTTTTCAGCACGCCGAGCGCACGTTCAGTACCGTAACGTTAAACACCCAACGGCCCTCTACCTTGTAGCTTAGCAATAGTTTCCTCATTTATAGGAGCCAGTTAAGACTTTGCTGAACAAATTTCACCGCACGTATCTGATAAACTTACGTCGTATCCACTATTACGGATTCCACGCCTAGGTCTTTCTCGAGTCACAAGAAGATCCATCTCAGTTTCTCCCGGGCTAGGGCTGTTCAAAGACTGCCTGCTTCTGTATACTGAGTTCTTCATCGGTTGCCTAGAAAATATGAAACAAGAAAACAGTAAAATGAAAACAGCTCTCCAATTCACACAGATTCTTGACCTGATTACAAACTATTAAAGAAAACCCCAGAACAGTGCATACGATCAGTAGGCTCTTAAAAATTGCTTCGAGATTGCCAATTAGCTCATTTAAGAAAGTTTTACTAATGAGAAAGGAGGTATGAACGCTAACAACAGGCATTCATACGGGTTAGAAAGTGCCTTCTGGGAACACAACTGGAACATTTTAAAACATCAATTTTATGGTGCAGGAGACTCACGGGTACCAGGAGCTAAAAGCTGTTCTTGAGCAAATCAAATTATTTAGCAGGAATGTTTTGTAAATCACTTTTAAATACAATTTGAAACAAATCCAAATTGTAAAGGTGATCTTGAGTAATCAACCGCATCTTTACTTTCTCGTATATTTTGGAAATGCTTTCTTAATGTGATTTAACGTAGTGGAACATATACAAAAGAGTGGAATAAACCTTTCCCCTAGAAACTTTGAAATCTCTGACTGACTCCTAAGTGATATTAGTTAAAAACACAAAACGCAATTTTTCAGTTTTTACTTGCTGTAACTATAAACAACGATTCAAAGCAGAAAAAGTTGGAAATCAAATCTTTTCAATTTTATGCTAACCTACATTGCTTTAAAACCATTTTTATTTCATTACCAAAATACAAGCGTATCGATTCATTTATCAATCACCAAAACTCACATTACCTCGTAGTTTTATTCAAGGTCTTCCTCCAGCACTGTGCCCTTTTAGCCAACTTTTTTTTAGTTTGAATACTGAAGGCAATAATGCTGTCACGTGCGTTGCAGCCTATCAAGTTCAGCTCCAGGTCTTAGTTTGGAAAATTTAGCATAGACTTTGGAATTTGTTTGCAAACATCCGCAACATCTGTGTGGCTCTTTACAGAAAGTACATCAGAAATGGTTCCCCTCTTCCTATGTAGGGATATAGACTATTTTATTTAACAAGTAAATCTGGCAGTCAGCCTTTTATGGTTCAGCTGCACAACGACATCATTCCTCTACAGCAGCATACCTGCCTTCAAGCGCTTTATATCACGCCAGTGATCACTATCTCAAATAGACTATGACAGGTTTACACAACACATTAGAAAACACACAGGAAAAAAAAATAAAAATGTATGCTGGGACCTTTCAGCACATCAACAAACATCAGTATATTTAACAAAAAGCAGATGGCTAGCATTAAAGCTTCATGTTTAATGTTTTAAACATTTCCTACGTGGCACCTAACACGTAATAAACATCCAAAGTAATGCCACGGTCCTTCACTATGCGTACAGCATGCGGTCATATCAACGTTTCTACAGTTCCGCCTGCACGGACTGTCTAGAAAATACAGAGCAGGACTCCTGTGTGCCGAGGGTTCAGCATCCTACCTTCCAGTGCACTTGGAGCAATTTATTCCTCCCCCACTGGAAAACTGCACAAGGAAATGATGCCCAGACCCTCCAGCAAGGACATAACACATGCTTAAGTCAGCATCTTTCTTCTTCATTGATCAGCGCAACCCTGGGAAATGGCTCGCCAAGGGCAGCATCCCCGGTCATTTACCTCTAGACCTACACAAGTTCATCTGATCACAGCTTCTGCCCGTGTTCTGAGCCAACACTGCCTTTATATTTCCTGTTACAGTCTGTGTCATCTCTGGGCCCCAAGGGTAATTGCTGAAGTTGCACTGTGTGCAAAGACTGGGTCACTATCAGTGCTCTGACTGCAGTTATGATTTCTACTCATAGGAAAACTCTGGTCTGAACCTCCCAGCAGATGGGATGCAAGACCGCACCTCCAGGCACGAGGGTCATTTCCAGAGGAAATGTACTTCAGTACAACCTTTTTCTCTCGTGGGTCAGCTGCTGCTGGTCCCTGGTTACGGTAAGAACCAGAACCCTCGTGGCGCAACAGCAAACACACTCATAAACCTTCACACCTCCACCACCCCTAAAGAAGAGGAATCTGCATACTGTGCCAATCCTGGGGTAGGGCTGGTGTCGTCTCCTCTTTTCAACGCATCAACTTGTGTTTCAGAGAGCACCAGCAAAAGAGCAGGTCCACCCACCCCCAGTAGGCTCAGGCAGAATCAGCGTGTACCCTCCCTCCTCGGTTCTAAAATGGGGAGATGAATACTACTGGTGTGCCATCCTCAGGAGACAGCGAAGTGTTAATCAAACATTAGTACTGTTATACAATATGCCAGCTCCACGTCACGGATGAGCAAATTATGAATTTCTCTGTTAAAGGCACAGGAAGATCACCACCAGCAGGTCCACACACAATCTTACAGCCACCATCCCTGCAGGACCTACGGAATTACATCGATACAGTACTGGTGGTGTCGTTTGATGCCTACCGCGATAGTCACGTTCAGAGGAAATTAATGACAGAATAATAGCACCGCTGAACTGCGCAAAAGAATGAATTCAGATGCTAACTTCCTGGCTTAAGTCCACTCTCATTACTACCAAAACCACTACCACCACTTCTATTTACGTTACCTGCAAAACGACTCACAAGAACTTGCAACAGTCCCTTCCTTTCATTTTTTTGTCTTTCCATTTCTTCCTTTTTAACCACATTGAAGTTTTACCAGATGACACACTTTGATAAATAATCATGGGCCACATGAATTTTCTTCCTAAAGTAGGAGGGGCCAGCTGACCATACAGCAAACAGTTGGCTCACTGAGAGCAGCCCCTTTGATTCCCAACATGCCCTGGACATCAACTTTCCTCCTAGATAAAGAACTGCAAATAAAAAAAAAAAAAAAAAAAATTAGGCTCAGCAAAGGGAGACGAGATATCTGCATCTGGATCCAAAATGTGGTCAAGCTCTTTCTGTTTTTTTTCATACATCCTTTTTCTCTCTGTCAGCCCCTTGTTATCAACCTGAGGGAAATCATAGTACCCCTTCCTCTTGGCTTTCAAGCGCAGTTTGTTGCGGTAATGTTCTATATCGGACTTCTGCTTCAAAGCCTTGTTCACCTAAAAGGCAGAAAGACAATTAAAGGATGGTGCCGGGCTGGCTACTTCCAAATGATATTGTCAGAACGTGGTCGATGCACCGCATGTGTCATTTTACAGAGCGCGTTTTCTACCACACCGTGCCATCTGTAAGCAGCGAGGAACTGCAAGTGAACAGAGTCGCTGCATTTTTATGGCTTGGCAGATGGTTAAATAATTTTAGCCTAAAAACTGTGTACCATTACAACAGTGACTCAGAGACACCCACTAAAGAAAAACACTGATGATGTTAGCCAATTGTCGTGACCCAACACTGCGCTTGCTTTTGGGTAACACGGGGAGAACTCACCAATGAAAACTTTTCCAGGGTCCTGTAAGCACAGAGACATCGCCCCTGACTACACAAAACTTTAAGTAAGTCACCACCAATGTCTGAGGAAGAATTCCAGTAAATTATCATCATGGGTTCCTTTTATTTATATGCTTCCTTACAAATCTGCTCCGGGCCCCTGTCAGAGACAGGATCCTTAAATAAACAGGGGTTTGATCTGACCTGGAACAGGTCAGGTCCCATGGATGCTCCTAAGTATTGAGAAAATTTCCCTTCTGTTTCAAATGGTCAGTTACATGGAAATGAGCAATTCATTTGAACTTTGTGCTTCCAGAGTCAAATTCTACAGGTCTGCTCACGAATTTTATGAAATGTCTGTACAGGAGAGCACACACCACTGGGAATGTCATCCTGCTGACTTACAGAAAATAGATGCTGAAATCTAAACAAGCCTTTCTCTGAGTTTGGAAACTCCGTGGCAGGGCTTCATACACAAGTATGAAATGGAGCACGACAGAGCGCTCCCACCCAGGCCCCCACGGGAAGCCTGATGCCACTGTCTTTTACTGTGTCTCCGGCAGGAGCCCTCCCTGTTGCTTTTAAACGGTATCAGAGAGTTTCCGGCTGATCTTTAAATGACTGTTGCAGTGTGAGTCTGCAAACAAGACACACCTCTGGCTCGTCCCCATCATGTCTAACAACGATATAAAAGCCTCAGTCCTTTGTAAATGGACCAGTCTTGATTCAATCTACATAAAACCCTGATTTACCATACAAGTGTTGGAACCAAAGCACGGTTTCTGGCCAGAACCTGAATCAGAGACTTGTGCCATCCCAGCTTTTTCCCAGGAAACAACTGCACTCTCTGTGCACAGGCTGGAGGGCAGACTGAGCAAAGCCACAGTCCTGTCGCATCCCTTCTTGCTCTGAACGAGACGTTTCACTCAGTATAGGAAGATCAGCTCGGCACAAGCTGGAGACATCTCCACACTCAGCCACAGAACTCACGGAGACGAAGATCTTATTTCTGCTCTCTGCCTTCATTACTCATTTTGTTAAAACAAATACGTTAGGAGAAAAGGATATTGGGAAGGTGACCGGAATATAAAGAATCACCTCTTCCAAGGTCGCATACATTCACAGGTGTGTTTCGAAGGAGTAGATCTTCAATTCTCAGCTCTCTCAGCCCACAATACTCACGGAACTTTATGTAGCCTCAGAGTGAAAATCTCCTACCGGTCCTCAACTCTAAGCAGCTTAAGGTTGTTCCACCTGTGGATGTAGCCAAGGAAACAGCTGGAGACATTATCAGAGAGCCCTTACCTCTCCGTTAAGGATGGCAGATTCCTGGCTCCTATCTGAAGCAGCATGAACAGCAGGTAGTGCCACAGGTTTGATGGCTATCAGCTGTACGGATCCAGAAGAGGTGTCGAAGGGGTCAATGGCAGATTTGGCAATATTATCAAAGAGAATGCCTCCTTCCTCTTCATCGCTTACGGGCACTAAAGCACATCAGACTCATTCAGCATAAAGACACGGGTATTTTGACTGCAAGGTAAAACTCAGCGAGCACATCGTTTAGATTAATGATCTGCTCGGTACACTCAAGAAGCAGACCTGGGAGACCTTTACACTGGAGAAAAAATCCCATTAGATTACATTACGTACAACATTATAACATTATGTATTCAAAGGATTATCTGGCAGTCCCCCAAAGAAGGTTGATTTCCAATCTGCACTAATAAGATGGAAAAAAAGGAGAAAAATAATGACACAGAAAATGGTATGAAAACGACAACGAAAGTCAAAGCGTGTCTTTCCCCAGGTTTCACATCTCCACGTGCCCAGGCATCAGTAGTTACACCTGATCTAACACAAGAGTGCAGCATTTCTTGTCTTACACTGCAAGGGCATTCTCAAAATTTGACAAATAAACCTACCGATTTTAGCAAAAGTTATGAATGCTAAAAATGCCACCTGTTAAAACGGAAGCATTGCTCTTGTGTGTTAAAACTTGCTTAAGAAACTGATGTTGTCCAAGCTTGTTATTTTATTTTTTGCTTTGCAAGGCAATACCTCAGGTGGCTCTAAAGTTAAAACATTAACGTTTAAGAGATAGAAGGCAGCTTCTGAAAAAAAATCTTTAAAATTAATTGGCATGGCAGAGCATTAGTTTTAGATTTCTATATAAATGGATAACTTTTACATATACAATTGGACCCTTTCTCCTCCAAATTTTGTGTGTAAACCTGCATCACCTTGTCAGCTGTTGAATCTTAAACCTTTTATCCTCATTTCAGAATAAAAAAATAACTCTAAAGCACGAGCACAAATTCTACAAAGAGATCCCTGCAAACATTTTTGAATAATTATGCTATTAGAGGGAGGAACGTTTGCTCCATCTCCTAACTGACAGGAGCAGAGATCCTCTGCTAAAGAACAAAGTGGTCTGCTCTAAATTTATTTCCTCTGAAAATACGCTCTGGTTTAATATTTAATCGCTGCACAAATTGCAATGGACTTGTATAAACTCAGCAGTTTAGACAGCCAATGATTTTGGTATAAAAATATTTGACGGGGTGACGTAAAATATGAGCTCATTATCTTTCTGTCTGTACTCAGCGTGGACTGGAGTTGACACTGCTTGAGCTTTTGAGAAGTATATGGGCTAAATCAATCCATCATTAAATATTGTCCCTTCGGCTCCAAAGAGCTGTCAGAATACAAAAAAAAAAAAAGAGTCTTTAGTGGGTCTGAAATCCCCTCGTCCCTCCTGAGGTTGCTCAGGCACTCCGTCCGCTCACTGGAGCACGTGGATCACAAGCCTCACTCACTGAAGTTACTGCCAGACTCTGACGGCCACGCCACCCGGACACCACACACCAAAACCAGGCAGGTATCGCCCCATTCATCTGTCACAGACCACGCGTGAACAGGACTGCGTTTCTGTTACGATGAGCATTCTTCTCTGGGGACATTCCGAATGAATTTGTTTCTCACGTAAGTCACCAGATGCAGTTCTGGAAGATGGGTCTTGTCTGTAAGTCACCTCTGAAACTTCCATGCTACCCTAACTAGGTACCTTGGCTGTGACACAGCTCTCTCCAAGAGAGAAAAAGTTTGTGTGAATTGTGTTTTTCACTGACAAAGAAGGTCCCTCAGGATGATGACAGCTGAGGGGAGCCTGGATACTATCTTGTCAGCAGTCCAAGTACCAAGAAGTTGTGGAATCCCTTCTCCTTGGCTGCCTGTCTCCGCATTTGCCTGAGCCAGGCACACCCAGAAAAAAAATCCCTGGCTAAGCATCAACTTGCAAAACACGATTCTTTCCAAACATCCTCTGTGTACCCTACTTCAAGCAGAAATCACCAAGCAGCGCAGCTGTGTTTCCCCCGCAGCGTTTCAGAAGGGCTGCACTTGCTGAGACCTCAGCAGTGATCTCCAGGCACCCACAGGGAACAAGACTAGCTACAGATGTGCGGGCTGTCTCCTCAGACCTCATTTCAGGACCCGAAACCAAGAGTTTTGCTTAATTAAACAGAATTCCTCTGGTTCAAAGACTCATTAAAGCAAATAAAAATTAAAGGTAAAGAGAATCAGGGATCACAGACACCAGCTACTTCTGATTTGGTAGCTGACGCCCAAGAGCCCCCTCAGTATCAGCCCTCTCACGGGTGAGCACATCTCCTGCACCTGCTGCAGCGCTCCTGGCATGGGAATAACAGCCAAATGGGACTACAAATTCTAAGTGTACTCCACCTTAGCTTAGAATTTGTTCATTAATTGGCATTTATAATATAAAAGTAGTTTTTTTCATTCATGACTGATAAGAGTCTGATCTGCAGCTACTGGCACGCTGCTAGAGTTTGTATTGGCAGTGAACCATAAGCAAGTACCGTGGGAATTTTAGTATTTACTCCTATCTCTGTCTTCGAGAGAATTTGCAGCAAGCATTTATAACACAACCGAAGCACGGCAATCTCTAAACTTTCAAAAAACAAACCGAAGGGAGCTCGGAAAAAAAGTGGGAGACCTGGAGTGTTCGTTTCTGACGCGTATCCCTGCCCTGGGCCAGTGCGCCCATCCCAGCGCTGGGCAAATGACTGACAGCTGTGGGAAACTTCATAAAACCGCCCAGATACTCTTTATACTCACTGACAATAAGCACACTTATTATAATTAGCCACACAAATTGAAAGCGATGCTTTATCATTTCTGTTTTTAGACAGAGGCGTACCAACGTTATTGTGGATTCCTCGTTCTACTCTTGCTTGCGCTGTCTGCGCGCGCACACAGCGAGACTTAGAAGTTCAGCAGCAGAAAAGGGGGGAAAAAAAAAAAACCCAACTTAATCACCGACTTAACAGTAATTTCCCGTCTCTGAAACATCTCGTGCTAGATATCTCATGCCACATGATCCGCTGAGATTGAATTACTCCTCTTCATCTTCCTGCGACTGGAGTACATGAAGATATATCCAAAGCGATCATTTATTCGGGTTGAGTGCCAGTTGCAGTGAGGAGCAGGGTAGCACTGGGTTTTGAAAGAGCAGAATCATGGCTGAAGCTTTATCTCCACCTCGCTGCAGCTATTAGTGCACAAGATTTGCTGGATGGAAGCTGCCTCAGGGATGCCAGCCCGTGCGGCGATGCCAGCAGATGGTGCTACCCACTCGTGCCACCAGCCCTGCAGCCCGGGGAAAAGGCGCTGTGCAACTGTAGCTCAGAGCAGTTGAGAAACTATTAGAAAGGTGGGATATTCTGTTTTTATTTACTTATTTATATTCAAAAAATAGAAGTTATACTTCTGTCAGCGTAAGATTTCAGTATGAAGGCCACACAAGGTATCTTCTCTCTCCCTTTCCCTCTTCACCTTGTCTTTGTCCCCCTCTCCCAAATCAAATTATGCTGGAAAGGAGAAAAAAAGGACTGAAATACCTGTTAAAAAAAAAAAAAAATAGTAAGGAAGTTTAAATTGCCTGTGGATCAGGTAACCTTACAGCAAAATACCTGAACCAAAGTTAGGTGCTGTCCTGCTCAGAAGCAACCACTTGTCTGATTTTGTAAGTCCTCAGAAAAAGAATGACATCAACAGAGAAAAATGCATAAAGCCAAAACCCGAGGAACACTCACAAGCAGGTAAACGTGCCCTGCCTCTTAATTAGGTCATTCAATGAAGTATTAAAAGTTTTCCAAGACCGATTTTGTATGAGGGGAACGCAAACACTGTAACCATGCCCGTGTCGTATACCTAGAGTTTGACAAAGAGCCAACTCCGCCGCAGATCTAAAAGACTCCTTAGGAAAGAGCCTGCCTATCAGTATTTCAAACAGAAATCCTGTCCTGAATGCAAATTAATAATGGGGAAATAATTTTCATTTTAGATAAAATCTCTCTCTGTAAAAAAAGATTAGACATTTTCTGCATCGTCTAAATCATTGCATTCGTTAGCCGGAAGGTATAAACAAGAGCTCCTAGCAAAAAAAAAAAAAATATCATGAGCTTCTGAAGGAGTTTATAAGCATAAAAGTAAAATACAAGTTTCCTAACATCAGTACCTGAGCCTATTCAGGATTGAAGTACCTCTCTAAGATACTGCAGTGCAGCAAAACACACACTTGTGTACACACAACACACACACGCTCAGCCGTGAGACAGTGCGGTTCTAAGCCTTCCGGGAACAGCACAAATATTGTATTTTCAGAGCAGCAGACAGCTTACAGACCAATGGAAACAGCTCAGGATTCCTCCTGGACGTTATTGTTTCACGTGCAAAGGCTGCGAAATTCCAGGCCGAGTGTCTGAGGTGTTGCAGTCCTGGGTTTGCCTGGGATCCTGAAAAGAGCAGTTCCCTAAGGCGGTCGTTTGAGAGCTCTGAACTGACATTTGGGTGGGGTTTTTTTTTGTGTGTGAAACTGTATACATGGGATGTCTACACTTCTATCAGCTGCTTGTTTCATTGGCTTTCTATGAACAGAAGCAAAGACATTTTCCCCTGCGGTTACATCTTCTCCCTCAAACCATATATGCCTCATCTATTCCTCAAAGTCTTTCAAAAAAGAGACCATGTGTTTCATAATGTTCATACAGCATCCATCAGACCCTTTTCTTGGCTGGCACTTCTCTAACACCATCCCAGGCATATTTAATAATTTTTTTAAAAAATTATTTAACTGACAAGAATGATGACTATACCAAGAAGAGAGGAAAGGCATGAGAACTTACAGCAGGAGAGGCTTTTTCAAGAACGTAGCGTTCTAGGGGCTTGAAAAAGCTTCGCAGAACAAGTTTTCTGTTCGCACAATAAAAGCGTCCATTTGTCTTCTTCAGTGCTGACAGATTAGTGAACGATCCCAACCAGCCAGCCAGCCACTGGATCTGATGGCGTGAACATCTACACGCCCTTCACACCGTTGCTTGGATGAGAATGGCTGTCAGACTCAATTATGTGGCAAAGAAAAGCTCATCCGGAGGGGAAGGCAGACATGAATTAATACTTAACTGCGCAACCACCTGCAGGTCCCAGTTCCCTCAGAGGTCTGCTGCAACAGGCACCTTAGCAACATAGGATAAGGTATTTTCGTGCCATCAGAAAAGCAATCAGAAAGACTGACTCAAAAAAAAAAAAAAAAAAAATCCAAGCTGGGTTAACTGTGCTGACCTAAGAGAGGCCAAAGAAAGTATTTTCCAATTATTCTATGCAAGTTCTGCCATGCCTGTGAGTATAGCACCTGGGTGGCCTCGCTCCCACAGCACAGATTGGAGGTGCTGGTTTTCTCCCACTCTTTCTGGGGGAAGAGGAGGTGGAGCACTTGCACCGTTTGCTTCAGTAGGAGTATGAAGAGGCTCAGAAATGTGGCTCCGAAGTTCACGGTATAGGTTACAACACTTGGCTGCCTCTTGCAAACCAAAACCAAGTGGGGAAAGCAGCAGGAAATGATACTGGCTGTGTCTGAAGAAACAAAGGGTTCACTGTCACCAGCGGGATGTTAGCAGGGTCACAGTGCGCTCTACATTTGAAACAAACACACACATGCAAAAAAAAAAAAAAAAAAAAAAAAAATCACACAAGCTGAAATCTTTGGAGAAAAAAAAAAAAAAAAAGAAGAATCAATGTGTAAAGCTTCTGGGATGATCAAGCAGAAGAGTAACATGCAAATATGAGGGATTTCAGCTGAACAAGCAGATTTTTTATTTTTTTTTTTACCCCGCTAGGGTTAATTTTCAGGAAATTACTCCAGAAAAGCCTGGGAGTTTACTGGGGGGGGCGGTGAAGAGTTAGATCAAGATCCCCACTAACACTCTGGGGCAAAAGCAGCTAATGCTTCAGGAAGAGGGAATGAACGATGAACACAATAGAAAGAGTCTGCACCATTCATTCTTCCTAGCACTCCGATTTCGCAGCCTTCAGAGGCACGGGCATCGTGAAAGGGAATCTCACTTCAAATCTGCACGCATGCTCAAATGCAGTGGTCTGAACTCCTTCCTCGGTGGAAAGAGAAAGGTGAGCACCCACGGAGCAGAGAGATCTGTCCCAGCTAGCTCTCACCCTCTGGAGTCACTAGAGTCTATCTGGTTAGGCTAGATTAGGAAACCAATTCTAAAGGACCAAAATTCGGCGAGATGAAGCCCTTTGCACTCTGTATTTCACCCCGCCCAGCACAGAAAAGGCAGATGAAGGGTGCTGGATGTTTGCTGGGGATACACCACATCTTCCGGTGCCAAAGCAGACTGCTACATCACTGCTACTGCTTCAGTTGCTATTGCCACATTTCATTTGAGTCATACAGACAACCGCTCAGAAATTCAAAAAAACTGGCTGGCACTGAGCTGCCATACCGGACAGCGGGAAAACTAGTGGCCCACACTTGTGTAGAATAAGGGAGGCAGCGCAACCTATCTTGGCTGAGTTACATCCAAAAATCCTTTTGATTTTAGCCAAGCCAATAATACAGCCAAGTTCTCCCCAGTACTTTGTTCCCGCAGGCTGATTTTCAGATATCCCTACAAAGAACAGAAGATAATTAAAAATGTATGACCGCTTCTGCCTGGACAGAGACAATTATAATCTTAGGGACCGATATTTTGAAAAGGAGTTAGGCCCTTCTGAAAAGTGATGTCTATTTTTAAAGACAGCGTCCAAATGCTTGGAAGATAAGAAGGGTTCCGGCTGGGATTCTTAGGAGGGGTACAGGAAAGTTTCTTACACGAGGAAGTTTGACTCTTTGGGGAATGCTGCTTGTGCATCTTCACTCGTGATATGTGTCTGTTCGTGACGATGAGATTCAAGTACAGAACCGGGCTCAGTTATACAGCCAAAAGGTACAGAGCCGTGCAGGCAAAAGCACGGAGTCAAAGCTACGGAGTCATCCCAAAAGCTATGCAGTCACACGCTTCATTAAGAACTGCTAGCAAAATAAAGCTTTTCTTTTTCTGAAAACAAGCAAGCAATCACACCCTCCCAAAGATGCTGATGGGAAAGTTGCCAAATCAAGCGCTTAAAGGCTGCAAAAAACAACCCGTAAAACTTCCATTGGCTTCGCTTTGTGAAGAGCTGGTGAAAGGAAAGGCTTTAGTGTAGGTTGCTGTAGATCTTTAAGCAGGTGTGGGTGAAGCTGTTTGCTTCTCCCTGAATGATATCTGGCCTGATAAAACGATAGGTGAAAGTGTTAATATCCTGTTGTTCTTTTACAAACTCATCTCAGAAATTGCCCGCATCCTCCCTTGGCTGATTCATTCATCTCGCAGCCCTCTAACACATGCAATTAGGCACTTCTTTAAAAAGGTTTTATATTACTTTTTTTTTTTTTTTTTTTTTTTTCCTTTCTAAAATACCAATAAGTGTTTGTAAGAAAAAAAAAAAAAAAAGGGAAAAAAATTCAATTATATTACCGAAGTTTATCGCTATTGTAATACAAATAGGTATTTCACTTGTATTTTCTTGAGAAATAAGGCTCAGCTGAAGAGTTCTCCCGATCCTCAGAAACATCAGGTCTGTAAGCCAAACCTGTCAGTCTGTGCCGGTTCCGCACTGTTCGCTCTCAGCCCTGACACACTCCATTTGGAGTCAATTTTTGATACAAGCCACATAGAGTTTATGTACTGAGGTAACACCCAGTGCTGTCATTTTTCCGTGTAACTAAATGTCAGCAAGAAACAGAATCTAAAATTGGTCTGTAGCTATGGCAACTAATGAGCCATTCTAACTTGGAGTCCCCAAATCAAACATGTGACCATCAAGGGATTCATTCCAGTTTTAAGATGCTGCTTCTCCGAGAAGAAAATATGCTGCTGCTTTTGCTGACATGCGCATTAGAGGTGTCAGCCTACAACCAGGCTGGAGAGCTGGAGAGGGTTCAGACAAACAACCAGGAGGAAAGTGGCTTCTCTCTTAAACTGGAAGGAAAAACAGCCAACACATTCTACTGATGCTAATCACGCTGGATAAAGATAAAAGCCTGCGAAAAGAACAAAATATCAGAGATGACAGCAGCATTTGTAATCACGGCACTTGGAAACAAAGCCTGAGCTCTGTGATGAACAGTAATGGGTGCCTTGACTTTTTTGTTTCTTAATTTCGACTTCAACAGGCATTTGGGATGACACAACTCAAAAGGCAAAAGCACACCTGCACGTGCACATGGGAATAAACGTGGGGCCAGCTCTGTAATTCTGGGAGGCCGTTTCATCCCCCGTGACCACACCTTCCTCTTCAGAAGCTGTTCTGGAAGGGTTCTATCAGGAAACTTTCCTAAACATTTCATGCCTACAGCTAAAAAAAAAATAATCTCCATCTCTTTACCAAGGCACAAGGTATTTATTCCCCTTCCTATCTCTGCCTGGAAAGCACCAGGTGACCCTTTGTAGGGCCACGGCGGTCAAGGGAAGAAGGAGCTGAGGGCTCTGCAGAGAAGGTGTTTTACACGCAGGCTCCTTCCAAGCCAGAGCAGTCAGACAGAAACAGCCTGTCTCATATTCCGTGTAAGTGCTGTACTAATGCTTTTTAAATGGGCAAATACTGCTTTTCCCTTCTGGCACGGGAGCTGAGTATCTCGGTGCCAGCATGCAGCAGGAACAAATGACAAGAACCCAGAGTATAAATGGAGGATACACTAAAGAAGTTTTCCCTACGGCACTAGAACCAGAAATCATTTAGCTGCTTTAAACAAGGAGCACCTTGACCATCATGAAGTAACATCATTATTCAGTTTGGTTTTTTTTTCCAGAAGACAGAAGGAAAGATAAATGTGTAATTAAAGCAGTTATTAGTTTTCCAGATTAATTTGAAAAGCGCATAGTTATTGTTATCAAATGAAGTTGAAGCTAAAATTATAATTAAGATTTAAAATAAAGGGTTAGTATTCCCTTATACTACATTGAAAGGTTTAAGGAGTATGTATACGTTCTACAAACACACTAGAGTCCAGATCGGAAGAAAGAATGTTAAAGGTTAGTTCTTTAACAAAAACTCAAAGTTCTTACCAATTTTCTTTGAAGATTTAAAACCTAGCAAAACAACAACAACAACAAAAAAAAACTTCACTAAATTGTTTTGCCTACACGTGTAAACATCACCTGACACTGGCTTTGAATATTGGCTTTCCTGTGTAGGGAATAATAAAACCCAGAATAAATTACAGTTATTAACTCGTAACCATCAGCTCAAAATAAGCTGCGTTTGAAATGGTGAAAAAAATAGTTATGACCCTTGAAACTGAGAACCATGAAATATTGTCATGTTGTCTACAAAAAAAAAAAAAAAAAAAAAAAAAGACCTCTTTAGAAAGACCAGTCAAAACACTGATTACAGGTCTGGAGTAACCGGTGAAGTGACAGGTCTGTCAGAAGCAAGCAGTACTGGCGACAAACACAAACCAAAAGAAAATTAACGACTTCAGTTCTTCGCGTGACTTTGCAAACACGCGTAAACCTCAGTGCGGCTGGTTTTAGAACACGGTTCCATCAGTCCCACAAGGTGCCACGCTCTATGGTCAATGAATGGGAAGAACAGAGGACGCCTGGAAAACGCAGCGTGATTTTCCTGTAGAGAACAGAGGCCATCTCTGGTGCTTTGTAGCTGTGTCTGTATCTCCCTGCATCCCTGCCTAAGCAGCAAATCCTTTGCGTGACACGTTACATATCAATCATCAAGGGATGATATGAAGTGATATCAGGGTTGCCATCAGAACGCTCCACAGAGGTTACTCAGGTGATTTACTGAAGAAAGAAGAGATCTACACTGAGATTTTCTCTTTATCTGGGACCTTCCGTCCACACTTCCATTTTTAACAAAGAGGAATTATGGACTTGTATCCATGACAGGATCTGATGACACCGCATCCAGTTTAATTCCCTCCCTTTCGAGGCAAGTGATCAATTGGTTCAGCCACAGTGTTTTCTATTCATATGGAAAATATAGCTACAGCAGCAAGGCTATAACTCAGGAGAAATAAGCAGACACACAGCCCAAAAAAAAAAAAAAAAAAAAAAAGGGTATTGAATTCTACTCTGATCAGATGTTCCTGATACATCTCAAGTCACAAGGTCACCCCAAAGCCTTGTAAAAAACATCCAGTGTAACATCCTAGGTGCATCGGGAAAAGCTGCCAGTAAGCATTCATAATGGGCATGACAAGGATGAGAAGAGATGGAAAGTTAAGGCTCTGGATGTCTCACACTTTCTCAAATTATTTTTTACCTAATTAATTCATCTTCACCAAATCTGGGCCAGCTTAGCAACAGCAGTAATGGGATTTAATATCTTAGGGCTCTACACAAAAAAAAAAAAAAGCTGTAAACCCTGTCCACCTACTAAGCAGCATCACGTCTTCATTAGTATATTGGTATTTAAAGAAGAAAAAAAAAAAAGTAATTAAAAAAAAAAAGAAAGAAAACTTGCTAAGGCCCACACAGACAGTAAACACCACGCTGTTCCGTGTGAGGTTGAGAAACAGTTACAGCAGTAAAGGGGGAGAAAAAAAAACAAAACATCAAACCAGCTACAAACAGACAGTGCCCAAGTACTGCTGAAGGTACGGGCAGGTGGTTCCGACATCGCCGGTGTGGGTACGGCTACAGGGGACTGCAAGCAGCTTCCATCAACACACGCTTCTCACCGTTTCTTTTCCTCCCGTCGTCTTTGGTCACTTTTTGCGGTGCCATTACTTTCTGGAGGGAGCTCTGGCCGGAGCTGGGCTTTCCTGACCCGTTGCTGATGATGGAGCCGTTCTGACTCGGGGACCGGCTGCAAGTAACCATAGCAACAAGGGAGGCTGTGAGTTCTTCCTTCTAAACCTCATTTCAAGGTTATTTCCTTTGCACAGTTTGCATCACCGAGTTTTCAAGTCTGATTTTATACCCCAAAAGCAGACAGAAACTGCACACAGAGAAACAGGGGAAAGGCAGGAACAAGGCGATGGCAGGAGAAGGCGACTGCTCAATTATTTGAGGGTTGACAGGCATCGCAGCGGCATCGAACGCAACCGCTTCTCGTGCACAACCCCCACAACGACAGAAGCGGCACTGCAGAGGACAAAAACTCCCGTTATCAATTCAGTGCCATTTAGACAGCTAAAATAAAGCAGACCTTTGTTTTTGCATATATGGCTAAACTCATTCCTTTATTATTTAGCCTGCATTTACATCGACTCTTTTGTCAGCCACAATGCAAAATCCACTCACTTTACGCCCACACTATGCAATGAGAAAATTCTAATTTTTTTTCCCCTTTTTTTGCATATAACCTGTTTTAACCAGCACCACTATTTGCTGAAACTCTTAAGAAAATGCTTGTTTTACTCAGCCGTTGCATATCTTTGCCCTGAAACTGGTCCCTGCAGAGGGTGAGGAGGGAGGGCAGAACCGCTGCGAGCATCCCGTCCCAACGAGGAGCAAGAACAGAAGGGAGCAGCATAACTCTGGGCCGCACTGGGAGCGAGCCCTCAGCAGAACCTCTCTTCTTTTTGGGGTGGGCAAATGACTCGAACCCTAATGCACAAGTTGGGAAAAGCAGGCAAGGGTATGAAGTGTTCAACTTGGTGCTACTCTACATCTAGACGTGGTGTCACGGTGTTTCTACATGTGAAACCTGCCACAACGGGAATGAAAACATCTACAAGGATCTGTATAGCTACTCCTGCACCTATCTGCGATCTATCACTGCATTGTCACAACCAGTGACAGAATTCTATAAAGAGGTTGCAGCAGAGAAGAAAAAAAAAAAACAAAAAACCAACCAAAACCAAACAGACATCACATGGACTTTCATTTACAGAAGGGAAAAAAAAAAAAAAAAATCAAGTTCTGTTGCCATCACAATAGGTTTATACCCAGAAAATGGTACTAAAGTAAAACAACTGTAAAAACCATCCTGTAAATTATTGCCGGTACTGTATTGCCATCTTGAAGCATTCATTTACCTCCAAGTCCTGACTGCCCTGTCTAAGCAGAACATAAACCATGGTCAGAACAAGAAGGGACAAGTATGAGAAAATTAATTCTTACAGACCCTTTTGAAGATAGCCTAGGTGGAAATATATGTAGTTTGAGACAGGCTATTTCCACCTACAGGGCTTTATAAGAACTCCAGCTCAGCCCAGCCTGAGGATTTTCTTGTGAGATTGTATTGAGAATAAATATTCTTGAAAAGCAGCATTTCTCCCCTATAAACCTGTCTGTCACTGCTAATGAATAATCCCAGCTCAGTAAAAAAAAAAAAAAAAAAAAAAAACCCAGGGACAGAACACCACCTGAAGAAAATCTGCTCCACTCGGGAACACGTTATGAGCACAGACAGCTTGCACAATGGTATCTGCTGCCACTAATCTAAATATTCGTCCCTTTTAAGTGCCCGTCGTATTATTAACTGCGACGTTTCCTTCGGTGGTAATATCGGAGAAAATATTCTGATCAGTTACCGGCCACTTCATGGCAGTCTGATTTAAATTGACCTTTCCAGGCAGCAAAGTAGCCTAAATGAATGAGCAAATATATAAAGGTCAAGAAATATTTCTTCATCTTTAGAAACCATTCAATTCCATCCCCAGACACAGATCCTGGGAATGAAAAAAGGCTGAAATTCTGCATGTGCTCACTTACCCGAGTAATCACTCCGAAGGAGTCTAAGCAAATAACTAAGACTTTTGAAAGACACCAACGTGCAATGCATTTTATAATCAGAGTAACTGTCCTGTGAACTCCTGGATCAAGTTTGCTTATCAAAATTTGTTTAATATTGTGCAGGTTAAGGAGGGGTGGATTTCTGCACCCATTCCAAGGACTGAATGGATTTCTTAATCACTTTTGTTAGAGGATTAATTACTAGGGCCGGTTTTGCGTGTAATTACGCATGGCTTTGGAGAGGCCTCAAAACATCTTAAAGAACAGAACTAAAGACTTAACCTGCGGTGGCCCAGCGCCAGCAAGCACAGCTGGTGTCACAGTCATCTTCCAGTCACCATTTCATCAGCGGACAGAAGACTTCAGAAGGGACAAGTGATTTTTGGCTGGGACTATACAGCCTGACTCTTTATTTTCTTCTCCCCTTCAGTAGCATTCTTCAGCAATAAAAAGTTGATAATCCTCCACTCTAAACTAATTTTAAGGAGAGCGGGTCATGGAAAAATGGACTTGAAGCATGCAAACCAGCTAGGATAAAGGGATAACCTGCTTTCCTCACCCGAGACGGCCAAGACAAGAATTAATGACCTTCAGCTCTTCTGATGATGAAGGTAGACATGAAGTAAACCTTCCTAATGGGAAAAGTAGCGAAGAACAGATTGCTCGAGAAGGCTGTGATCATCCCACCTCTGGAAGACTTTAAAACAAGGTAGATGAAGTTGAGTGAGGGGTGTATTTGGCCCTGCAGTGCTGAGAAGAGGAAGAGCCAGATACCTTCCTGGGGACCTTCTAATTTGTCATCTTTTAACTCTAGATTTACTACGAGGAAACTGCAGACCTGGGACACTTTCCCCTAGCCACTGATGTTACGCAGTCTGTTCGTCCACTCTCAAAAGTGTTGTCCTTCCGTAGATGCTTTGGGGTCTAAAGGTCTTCCATAACCGAGTGGATGTTTAGGATTTGCCCTTCTGCTAATGAGGACATGTAGTGCAATTCTGACAGCGTCCATCAGTGCAGTTACAGCAGTTTACAGGGGCGGAGCTCCTGTCTTCTGGTTCACTTGAGAAATGATCGTTGCTCATGTTCCAGAGCCCATGTTTTGTTTGGGTTTATCTCCTGCACCACACCAGCATGCCTACGAGAGCCACTTCCCATTTACCTCCTCCACGCACGGACAATCTGCGAACACTTCATTCTATTTTATCTTGCATTTTGCAGCAATCTTACACACCCAGTGCAGGCCAGCGCTATGCCAAGAATATATCATGGAGGAACCATCTGCCACACACAGAGCCTGGGTGCCAAACCTTAGAGTTTTTTCCTAAGCAACCAGCAGCCTGTACCCTAATTCCACCCCTCTGCAGAAACACGTCGTCAGTCCGTACCTTTTCCTGGTTTCGTTGGATTTGGCAGTTTTGATGGTGCTCCCATCCTGAGTAATTTCTCTTTCCTGGGAGGCAGGAGCATCTCTAACTGGAAGTGGAAGTACAACAGTCTCCTGAGTTACAGGTAAAACCTCATCTTCAGCCCCCTGCTGACCTAAGTGTTGCTTGGCATAGTCAAAGCCTTGTACTGGCTGCAAAAAAAAAAAAAAAAAAAAAAGAAAGAAAAAAAATAGACATTTCCAGCATGTGTCATATGTTAATGTAGAACTCCCATTTCAATATAAAATTTTCAACTACCCCTTAACTTTGTTAATTACGTGACAAGTAAAAATGTGTGGATTGCCACACGAATGCCCAACAACAAACCAATTTTATGATGAGATCTCCGTTCCACGACTTAAACATGTTTAGTGAGTATGAAATTGATCTTGGCTAACCCTTCTTACCCTGCTGTAATACCGCCAGACTAACAGACAATGGAAGAATAAGCATACAGAAGAAAAAAAAAATTAGAAGGAAGAAAAACAAGACCATACAGAAAATCGAAAACTTTCTCTGAGAAAAATCTCGTGTTTCCAAAAAAAAAAGGTGGGAGTAATTTATTCCAAATCAAGACAAAAGTAAAAACGGCACACATCAAAATTTCATGGGCAACATTTTTCCAGAAAAGGATCTTTTTTCAGATCAGTGAAATTCTATTTCCCCTGGTTTGCCAGTTGCCTACTGGGAAGGTTGTTATTGACTTCACTTGTTTCTCTTGGGAAGCAGCATTTGCAGGAGCCTTGCAGCAAGGCACCCCAGGGCCGTGTGCCCAGCTGCTCCTTCCCCGGAGCCCGGCCGGGCTTTCCTGGCTGCCTCTGCAAGGAACAAGCAGAACTGACACGTGCCTTCTGGGCAAAACAGTTGCCAAAAGGTGGGTTCTCTTTAATGGAAAAATTAAAGCATTTAAGCAAAACTTAACTTTCCAAACTGCGTTTTCTATTGGGGAAAAAAAAAAAAAAAAAAGGGTGGGTGGAGAGGAGGAAAAAACCCAAACCAACCTGCATTTTATATTAAAAAAAAAAAAGAGAGGGAAAAAAATATGAAAAATAAATCACTCAGAGAAAATCCTAACCACCTCTGGAAAAAAATATGTAACACATTAAAACGTCCTTACTACAATAAATTGATTTTTAAACCTGGAAGGATGCTTTTTCTGAAGTACAAAGACTATTGATAGGATGTTAAAAAAGCACCATAAAACATTTCAAAAGGGGAGCAATGGTGATTCTAACCCTCAAACATATTTTGGGAAACACGTCGGAATGAGATAGTTCCTAACTGACTAGTCTCTCTCAGGTTCCTGTCATGTTCTTATTGAACATTTTAGCTCCAGAAGGAAATCAGCTGGACCACAAAATTTGTTGATGGCACAGAAAAAGGATGAGCTCCAAAAAAACATCTTTTGTTCTGTCCCTTACTAAATTTGGGCTATAGCTATAAACACAGACAAATTTCATAGGCAATCTCACTCTGAAAATAATGGCATTCTGTGCTATTTTTTAACACAAAACAGGCTTTTTGTTTATGGGGATCTGCACCGCAATCCCTGTTCAAACTGAGGCCGAGGATTTCTAAGGCGCTCACATACTCCAGTATTCCTCTGCTAAGTAGCTCCGGTGAATTAAGGCGATGCTGACTGGGCTAATGCCGACCTGGGAGGGCAGACATCTCCGCGCATTCCCCCGATGAACCTTGCAACCCATCAGAGAAATGCCGATTCACCATCACCACCCCATGGCAAGTCACAGTCACACTGCCCCGGAGTGAGCCCTCTGCTTGCCCTCCTCTGAAGGCAGGGTGCTACAAAAGCAGCCACCAAATTAGCCACGAAGGGAAGAAATGAAGAAAGGGAAGGGAAGGAAGAAAGGAAGGGGAAGCAGAAGCTGCGTGAAGGACAGCTAGGCAGAACTACTGCACAGCATCCTAGATAGCAATATTTTTAACCAAACGAATGTTTTTCAAGTCAGTCAAGACCTTCCTAGACACTCTGGAAAAAAAAAAAAAAAAAGTAACAGAAAGCTGATTAATTCAGTCATTTCTTCCTCCATGCACCTGAAAGGCTTAGAAGTTACAACTTCACAACTTATTTTTTAAGAAGTGATCAACAAAAAAACAAACAAAACCGAAACCAGTAGCAGCAGAACATGAGAATTACTTAAGAATTCTGCAGATTCCCAGCTTGGATCTGCCAAAGGAAGAAAATGAAGGATTATTTTAATCTGAGTTCTACTTACCACCATGTCTAGTAACAAACTGCAATAGAGGAAGAGCTGAAAAAGCCACGCTCGTCAGCAGACATATTGTGTTAAGTAAAATTTGATCTTGGAACCCTGCTCTGTAAAAGCCCGCAGGAGCAGATGGCTTCACCACCCCTGAAGGGAACTGGCAAGACTAAATCCCAGTCAGGCACTGCTGAAGCACTGCAAGTGTAGATGTCCAACACAGCCAAAACACTGAGAAAGGCCCAAGGTCTGGGATTGGGATATTGCTTTTGAAATAATAAATAAATGATGAGACCATTAAATTACGTTGCCTGGCAAAGGGTAGTTTGAGTACAGGGAGTTGTTTCTGGGACTTCTTCCCTTGTAACAATCATGAAAAAAAGATACTGATATTTTAAAAGAAAAGAAAGAAGAGAAAAAAAAAATTAAAAAAGGACGATCAGCCCCTCCCCTCTACATGTATACCCATTTGCACAGACATCATCTCTGATTTTTTTTTTTTTCCCCCATGCCCTTTATCAAATTGATAATGGTTGTTTTCTCAGGGCCTGCAGTATTTGCTTTTGCTTGTGGGTCTTCTACTGCAGATCTTATCTCTGTTTACCTGCAAGCTTATTCTTTCATCCTCTAAAGGAAAGAGAAGGTGACAAATCAGATTACAGCCTTGAAAAAAGCATGCTGTGAATTAGAAAGCAAGAGAAGTAAAAGCTATCACCTATCCAAAACCTCAAAATAAAAACAGTTGCTCGAAATAAAAACAGCATTGAAAGAACATTCAAATAAATTCCCATCAGAATTTCACCAAGTTGAATTTATATTACTTTTAATTTTACAATTGGAGAGCCAATTGGGGAAAAAAAAAAAAAAAAAAATGGTAACAGTCCCTTTTTTCCTGCAACTCAGTCCAGATGTCTCTGACTGCTAAGGCAATTCGGAACGGCAACACAGTTCCTAAGTAACATCCTATAAACTACACTGCGTATGAGAGGTCATTTTTTTTAAACTCCATTTCTTTAGCCTTCAGTCCATTACAATAAAAAAAGTCATTCCTTAATTACCAGGCAGAGGCAGCAGTCCTGCTGTTCTGTTCCATCCCCTCCTCCAGGTACAGGACAGCTGAGCCTCAGTGTCTCATCCCCCCTCTGTGCTGTGCCCGGGCATCCCGCCCCGCTGGCACAGGACCAGGACTGGGACTCCAGAGGGCCGTGGCAGGCAGCTCAGCTCAGCTCAGCTCAGCTCAGCGGACCCGCAGCCTCCGCTGCTCCCAGCAGCACCAGGACTGCAGCGATGCACAGGCAGCTCTGCTCTGCCAGTCCCCTTGGTGCAGGACTTCTGGCATCGGAACACGTTAAATGGCACCACTCAGAACAAACCCAGCTGAAATCCGTGCTTGGGAGCAGCCCATAATATTCTCTTTTCCTCTCTGTACAGTTCGCTGGATATTCAAAAGGTATCCAAAAAATTGCTCCAGTGATTCAACAGCAAATCTCAGATGCGGAGAAACAAAGTATTAAAGCTGCTTCTTAAACTAAAAAAAATCACTCTGCTGTGACACCACTTGCAGAACAGATTCATCAAGCAGTCTTGGGCACTTTCCTAAGCCTTGAAATAGAATATATTCGTTTTAAACGTGATATAGATACGTGCTCACCAGCTATTTGTACTGCCAAGCTGCATCAAACCTCGCAATTACAGTCCAGGTAATTACCACCACTCCTGATATGCCTAATGCTGGTATAAAATTAAAACCATTCTTTTCGAAGTGACCGTTTCCATTATCTTCCCAAAGTACATTTCTTAGCCTTATTTTAAGCAAGGGTGCTGAAATCAGGGATGACAAACCCAGTCCCTTTCCAATCCCGCTGCAGAATTTACCCTCCACAGTCCATATACCAGCACACCCCCCGAGCTAGACCCGGCTGAACCTTTTTGATGGAGCCATCGTTGGGAAACTAAACGGAAAGCAATTCAGCTTTCGTTTTGAAAGGCATCACTTCTCGGATAATGAATTAAATTCAATTCTATGGGGTCTCAAAATATACTAAAAGGGGGAAATGCACTCTAGAAGTGGACCTCCTGCCCTCCAGCTGCAAACGTGAACAAGTCTAGAGGAAAAATCTTCTCAAGCGCAGAGCGGATGCTGGGAGCTCAGCACCGATTGTTTTGTTCTGCAGATCCACCCCCGATCTGACTGACTGCTGATACAAATGTCAACTCACTGAACAGGTTTTAACCTGACCACGTATCTTATAGCCTGATTAAATCTGATGTCTCCGGAAAAGTAAAGAATCAGCTTTCTCTCTCTCGGATTAAAATATTAAAATGCTTTCAAGTTTTTCCTGTGCTGTAGCTTTAAACAGCAGTGGGTTTTTTTAAAATAGTGACTTTCTTCAGCTGTAAAGCATCCCATCATGATGGCCAGCTCAAAACAATGTACAAATTTAGCCTCATTTTGTCTTTTAGCTGGGAATAAGATTACATATAAGAAACAAGTGGGGCATAGTATTTGCAACAGCCCCTAATAAAGCACAACTTGCATTTGAGAGGTTTCAGTGAGACATTATATGATATTACTGCAGGGGTATTAATTTTTATTTGTGTCTGTGATATTGCTTGTTTCACTTTTGCAGATCTAGTCTTAACTCTAGTTTGATAACACACTGGATAAAGAGATGAGCATACTGGAACCAAAATGGAAATGCCTTTTTTGCATCGTTTTTTATACAAGTCTTTTTTCCAACTGGCACCAGCTGCACCCATCTGCAACTAACCTAAGATGAGGAGAAAAGAGCTGTCATATGCATCATGCCTTCAGCTCTCCCTCCAATCTACATTTTTCAGTAGAAGCAACAGAGCTGAAATCACAACAATCCTGCTGTCTGTAGCATTAAGAAAAAAAATCTATCATTTCAATCCCATGCCAAGGGAGAAGAACAAAGCCAGCTAAAAGGGCAAAGGAACAGGATGACTTACACACAGGCTCTTTAGCCTAAAAAACTCCTAACTTTGGGTGGCTCTGTTTAACAGCAGCACTGAGAAGGCAGACTCTTCACTGTGGAGAGAAATCAGTATTCTGTGACATTTCTTCTGCTAGAGAACCAAACTGGAAATGTGTTTGATTTGGAAAAAAAACATCTTGGAATTGGTATGGGTTAGTAAGGAAGGTACTAAGGTAAGGTATGGGTTAGTTTAAGGAAAATATAACTGTTTGAACCCGACCAACAATATCCACAAATAAATTAGAAAGTTCAAGACTAGAAAAATAGCAGTGGGAGAAAAAAAAAAAAATTCAAAGGCTGTCTTCTCTGGATTAGCAGCTGGGTGGAGAACTGGTTCGAAGCAGGTCTGAACCGCTGCCAAAGCCCAGAGCTTCGGCCACCGCCACCTGCAGCAGGTAGGGGCAGCTCAGGCCACGGACCTGAGAATGAGGTTCCACGGGAGACGTGCGCCTGACCAGGCCTGGGCATAACGTCCCATTTCCTCTACTTGATGTAGGAAGCACCTGCCCCAAGTAAAACCTCCTCAGCCCTAACGGCCTTACATCACTGTGTCACTGTCACTCTGTCACTGCTACCCGTGCCACAAAGGATGGGCTGTTACGGACGCTGATGAGTCCTGAGTGAAAGAGAAGGGTAATTGCTGTGACCGGCGGTATCAAGGGCACAGAAGTGCAGAGATCCAGCCTGTGAGTAACAACCACTTCGATTCCAAACATCCTTCAACTACACCTAGCAGAGAAACGCAGTTAAAACCGCGTTAAGCCAACAGACATCTCGGATCAGAGACCGGTCACTCACTTTAGCTCTCTGAGGCAGGTTCATCATGGTGTCTGGTTTGAAATCGTTCTTGTTCTTTCTGCACAGAACTGCTGTGATGATGATGATGATAACCGTGACCACAGCAATGGGAGCCAGCACCGCTGCAATGATCCACAGGTTGTTTGGAGGGTTCTTCACCACAGCTACAGAAAAGCGCAAAGCAGCATCGGTGAGTCTCACGGTGCAAGCACAAGATTTAAATCGCTTCCGACACAGACTTCGGCTGTCTCCATATAATAATTAGCATAAAAGGACTGTTAGTAATCTAGCTATATTTTTGTATTCCTTAAGTTTAAAAAAACAAAACAAAACAAAACAAAAAAAAACCACAAACCAGCAACACTGTTCAATTCATGAGTCTCTTTCTTAGTTATATGTTACTTAGTTAGACGCCAAAGCAGCCATCAACTCCCAAGACAAGTTTGATGCTGTATTAGATATCACTCCGAGGGTTCGTTTACAGATTAAACACAAAAAGGTTCAGGTAATACATCTTTCATTATTTTTTTTTAACCACAAAACCAGCTTATGGTAAGGTAGCACGTGTGTTAACACTGTACACGCGGAGTCCATACCTGGTGCCAAAGACTGGCTCAGCAAGAGTAAACTGAGCAAAAGGAGCTTTTTCAACAACCGTGAGGCTAAGCATGCTCATAGTTATTACTGGTATCAATAGGGCAGTAAGAAAATGCTTCTCTTGTGCTCTAAAACTACTTCAGCACAGTTCAGGTGAAAATGAATACATCCTTTCTGAAGGAGGGGAAGGGATGAGGTTGCAAAGACCTGTTTGCTGATACATTAATAACGGCACCAGGAAAAGGGTCCCTTTCGGAAATGCAGCGATGCTAAAATGTCTGAGATTCTGTTTCATCAGAATAAAGTCTCTTAGTATGAACCTTCAACTTGTACATACAGAAGAGATCCTCCTGCGACACATTCCCCCATTCTCTCATTTAATTTCTTTCCGGAAAAACACCAGATAATCTCCTTACGATGCTGAATTTTATTTTAGCGAAATATTTCGTGGCCTTCCCCATGCTATCTCTATTTTCCTATGGCGCTGGTTGCTGGAGTGGACGGGCAATTGTGAGAACACAAGCGTAAAGCAGCCTTTCCCATTTCCTAGGAGACTTGTGCTTGCAGATGCCATCGAGCTTATTAGCTGTCAGAGGCACTCAGCATCTTTCAGGATCAGACTCCAAACGCATACCATGATGTTCAGCAGCAGTTACAAAAGCCAGCTGAAAAATCTGCCTGAAGCTTGAGCCTATTTTCTTTGTTTATCTACAACTTTGTGCAAAGCCAAGGAGTTTGTTGGGCGAGAGGAGTAGCAGCGTTAGGCGCATACCTTGCGCAGTAACCACGTACCCAAAAAGCCAGGTTGAAGCCTTTCAGGGGTCACTTTGCAATGGACTTGCAGAGTTCTAAATTATCGACTTTGACATTTAGTTTGGGGATGAAAAGGAACTGAACCTGTATTTTATCGGGTAACAGTAACTTTATAGACTGCTGTTGTGAGAGCAGCAAACAATTGCTTGAAAAAAAAAAAAAAAAAAAAAAAAAAAAACTTTCTAGGGAATGCAGGGGAAACAATGACCTTACGGCTTAATAGGACAAACATTTAGGAGTCCTAGTTTACATATTTAATTCAGTTATCAGCTTCCAATGTGACCTTGACTAAGTCAATCCATGATTCATTCAACTCAAGGCAAGACAAGCAAGCCTTTTGTTCTGCCCTAACTCAGTCCCTCACTTATAAAACGGGAACATCCTTAAATTTTGTTATATTTGTCTGTCTTGTCTAACCAGACCATGAGCTCCCGAGGGTAGATGTTTTTTCTGACTGCATTTTAGTATGGAACTTCTCATTCTGCTATAACAGAATTTATAATGAGTAAAAATGAAGTGCACACAAAATATTTTCTTTGGGAATATGAAGACAGACTACAAATACCATGTCCAAAATGAAAGAAATTGATTATTTTTTTTTTCATAATAAGGTATAAAGATAGAACTACCTCCTCCATTTCAAATGCTTCAGAATCTCAGTTACCCGGGGTTATAATTTCAACGTCTATATATTCTCTCTCACAGTATTTTGTGCATATTTAGCTTGCGTGAAAACCTATAGGCGAATGAGGCTGTCTTATCAGATCGTGGAAGTACGAAGTTAGATGACGAGCAGCAGATGTCATAATTGCCTAAACGCCCATGTAAACCACAAAACTGCACGAAGAGCTAGGAAACCTCCATGTATTATCTACAGTTGCTTTAGTAAAAATGACGTTGAAATAAATAATCTCATCGAAAACAAAAGTAATTTAGAATTTAAATGCTAGACTTTACGGCAGCAGGAATAGAGATCCCTGGTTCCAGTCCAATTAAAGTCGGTAACAGACCATGATCAAATCAAGGCTCAGATATGTATATAGTGTGTTCTCTGGAAATTGTATCATACTTCAGTCTTCTAACTTCATCATATGTTTATGGATGATACATCAATTACTTGATAGAGTGGTCCCTTCTTTCCCTATCACCACGACATGTAATTATTTCAATATCACTGCTCCTTCAGGCAGAAATAACGGCATCAGGCAGTCCCATTTCACATGCCAGTAAGGAGATCCAGTGCAGAAGTCCACTATAAATAGTGGATCAAAACCTTGGCAAAGTGGAACCACTGGTTAGCTAAAGGCATCGATTTAGTCATTAAGCCGTTATTGCACGAAGAACCCTCCAAGTTTCACCACAGGTTTATGACTGTGGGCCAACGATACAGGAATACCCCCAAAAATTAAGAACACACCTGTGCCCACAATCACTCAGTATCTGATGCAAGTCTTAAAAAATAAATTTGAAAACACTTTTCAAGAATGAATAACTTCCTTGGCCACGTTATTCTGAACAAAAACTGTCCATACATGCAGTAGTTCTGTTCGATCTGTTTCTAAACAATATCTTTAACAACCACGTTATGCACTTTACACAGTTCTTGGTGAAATATCATTATTTAAAAAAAAAAAAAAAAAAAAAAAAAAAAAAAAAAAAAAAAAAAAAAAATACATTATTCTGAACAAGTCAAAATGAGTGAAATCTTGATAGCCCCCACATTTTACTTTGGGTCAAGTTATTTGACTATAGCAGTTTAGCCTCAGCAGTCATTAGCCTGTGGTGTCATGGTTTGGTTCGCATCAGAATTAATTCTGACTTGACAGTTCCACAGAATTAAGAGAACTCTTACGATCGGCTTGAACTTGAATAACATAACCCAGTGTCAATGCCATCCGCTGGGAGTCAACGGTACTCAAAATTTTGGCAGCTGCGGTGCCCAGCAAAGGCTTCCCGTTGTATAACGTATAGTATGTCAGTTCAGCCGGCTCCTTGGGTCCTGGGATACGCTGGATTTTTACCATCTTTCAGGGAAAAAAAAGAACAGAAAAAAAAAAATGAGAGGAAGAGAAATATACTGTATTTGTATTATACTGTTGCAAAACCCTCCAGGAGCTATTTGAGGGCAGCGCACCCAGGGAACTCCTTCAAGACCCCATAAGCTGCATGCAAATATTCTCACAGGATCAGGGCTTCTCCTCTTCACAGCCTAGGCTATTAAAATCAGTGAGGCCTGACTGCTGGCTTAAAAAATTTTAAACATGATCCTAAGGTAAAACTCTATACTAAGAAAAGCATGCGGTAAAAAGGAGGAAAGGATCAAACGTTTGGACATGACAGTCCTCCATAAAGCGGGAGCTCTTAAAATCCGTCCCAATATTGAAACGTATACTTTACTGGCATACTGCAGTTGAAAAACCCCCTCACATTTTACCTCCATACTCATTATTTTTGATCCCAGGCTGACAACAAAGAGATCCATGCCTTTTCCATTTTATTCTGCGGAACGCCAGCAGAATTTTTACATTGTACCTCTGTCTTCCCTGAGAGTAAATGAAGTGTCAAACACCTCTAACGATGAGAGGAAAACGAAGTTTTGTGATTCTTCACCATTATATTGTGGACTAAAATTATGTCATGTCCTCATGGGAAATTTTACAAAGGTTCACACTTTCGGCAAGTAAAAACCTATTCCTTCTTTTGACTTCTTTCAGTGGGAAAACACACAGAATTGTGGGCAAATGAGAAAAGTAGTAATTTATTTTTAAATTGCAAGAAGCAATTCTTGAAAAACATCACAGAATAAAAAAAAAACAAAAAAAAAGCGCAGTAACTTGTCATGCAATTTTTGAAGACAGATCTTCTTTGAATCCCCCACAACTACGTTGGCTAAATTAGTGAGAAAACAAGATACGATCATTTTAAAATATTGAATGGGAAACGTTGCTCAATAAGGGAAAGATGATTAATAAATTACTCAGGATTGAAATCTCTACTTCATAATGTGATCCGTGGCCACATGATTTGAAGACTAACCTTTGTATCAAGATTGCTTCATACTACTTTTTTTTTTCTTCCAACAAAAACTAAAAGAAGTTCTAGCATTGTTGAGTTACCTAGGAAAGAAGACCTAGAAAACTTTTTTTTTTTTTTCCCCCACGAACCAAAGCCTGGAACTCTTAATTATGCTGAATACAGGACTTTTCACTAGAATATGTACTTCGTACCAATCCTCATAGCAATCAACGAGAAAATATTTATTAACACTGATCAATTAATGACAATTTCTAGAAGATAGAGGCATGCAAACACGGCTGACTGCAGAAAAAGAAACCCATCAGTAATGCCATGCATTTCGCACTCACTGCTTTGACATCCATTAAAAAAAAAAAAAAAAGAAATCTCAACCCAGTTAAACTTTTTTTTTTTTTTAACACAAATTGAGACAGGAAACATGCAAACAAATCCCTTTTTTTCACACGTATCTAGGCAAACCGACGTCGCGCTGAGCACCTGCACAGTGTAGCTGCCCACGGTAGTGGCACGTTTGAATCTCCTTCCCTGCTGATGGGACATCATAAACAGCGGGGCCAAACGCTGCTCCATTAACCTGGCAAAGCTCTGATTGTTCAGTCCCAGCAACGCAATGTCAACCCCTTGAATAACTGTGGGAATGGAGGAAAATCGCGTTATCAGCACATCTTACACGGACAGATCAAGTAACAGATGGTGTGCAGGGCAGCCCGGGACAGGGATGTACTAACTACCGTAGAAGAAAAATAGCTGAACACTGTACAACCCCTCAGTAACTCCTGACAGGGCTATAGCTTTTCTTTCAGCCCCTGCACTACTGTTCTTGGATAACGACAACAATATTTTAGAATAAAACCCTCCAAAAAACTTTCTTAGGCATTCGGTTCACCAAAACATCTAATCTATGATCCTCAATGTAAAAAACTAAATTTAAAACCTATTTGAAAGCTGCCTGCTTCTTGCCAGATGCTCCTGTTAACTAAACCAGGTCTTCATCCAGCAGTTTTGAAATCTGAAATTCGGATTTTGTACAGCTCGGTTGGACACAAAATATCGTACGTTCAAGAGCACTGAAAACCGAGTAAACGTTCCTAAGTATAAATGAATGTAAAAATTTAAAAGACACTGAATTTACATAAAGTTCAAAAAAGTGATACGGCATACTGATTTATTTCATACATATGTATGATTTTTCAATACTATTTCACAATTCTTTTGGGACCATCATGCTTTTTTTTTTTTTTTTTTAAACAGCGTTTCCATGGTAACATCAATAATACTTCATCGCAGGAAGTGCACAAAAGCAAGAAGTGGAGTACTGGGTTCACACGGACCAGATGGGGAGGAGCTGTACCACACCCTCCAGAGGATCATAATCTCTGTATAAATTTATTTTTATCTCAAAACTACGAATAGATATCACAGGTACCGAATCACATCAGCTTTTGGAAGCAGAGTGTAGAAATTAATCCTTTTCATGTCAGGCTCCTTTTCTCTTGCTCTCCTGAGCATTAAACAATTCCAGGTACAGACACACCAATTACAGAAGTACCTCCTCACTAAAAGATGTCTGGGGGAAAGGGTCTCCTTCTTGCCCAGTTATCGCTTCTAATGTCAAAAAGATCGTGAATGAGAATGTGATATCAGTGAAAGGACGGTAATAAAACAAGTATTTTGAAGCCTATTAGCAGCCTCTGCATCTTCTGTTCCACCAGCAGAATGTCACGTGCTTAAAGCTTCAGGTGAAAGATGCAAAAATTCCTGGACCCTGAGATTCAGCAAATCATAACAAATTTCCTCAATTTAACAGTTTGCCTTTCTTGCTGGGTTATGTCTACAAGTCTCTTTTGATTTCAGCGTTAAATCCAAGTCCCGGGGAGAAGAAGAAGGGAAAAAAAAAAAAAAAAAAAAAAAAAAAAAATTTGTTTAAAACTCTAAGAAGATAGCGATGCTCTCAGAAGTGCTTAAACCAAAGTGGCACAAACTCTGAGGTGAGTGTTGGACACAGGAGACGTCTCCGTTCAAGATGATGAATCACAGTTACGCCCCAGAGGAACGTTAAATACATTTGCCCACTTGAATGCGGCAGGAAGGTTCAGTGGGCAGCCACTTGTTTCTGTGGAAAACTACTGCACGGATGTGTTTTATATAATCGAGCGCTAAAAATTATTATCTGAAGTGCACAGAGGAGGAAAGGAGATTTAAAAGTACCTGTTATCACCCAGTAGTCTCTAGTTGACTCCGAGACATCAAGGTTTGGATACTCCAAAGCTGTAGTAAAATAAAAGTTGAAATTATGTCATAATATTCCAACAGCCTACACATTGTACATCACAAAACTTCTGGGGTTAACCAGACACTGATAAATTAAAATTGAACTATGGCCCAGGAGACCTCGAGGCATGATCTTCAGGACTGAAATTTCTCTTCTGTCCAAAAAGGGGCGTCAAGTGCAAACGGTACAGGCACTGCCACACAACGTAGAACACGCCTTCTGTCACCAGAATATTGGCTGGTATGTTATCTGGGGCAAAGCCCAGGATTGCCCACTGCTAAAAATGTTAACTAATATGCACATGTACGCTATATACATTTCTGCTGCTTTCTCCCTGTGAATAATCCCCTGGGGAAACAAGATGACACTCTATGGTGATGCTGTGATTCAACCCGTACTTAACCCAGAGCACCATTTTAACCAGAAAAGGTATTAAAGTAAACCAGGATCAGATTCCACCAATCGGAGCGCGGTTCCGCGTGAATTACAACCGTGAGCACCCCCTCGGAGCGTGGTACTCTCACTCTGCACCATTTAAGGTATTACTACCATACGTGTTTACACCCGTGAGAGACCGATGCTTGCCAGTTTGATGCCTTTTGTCACCTTTTCCATCCCCGAAGTGCGTTAGGCTGTAAAGTTCAATACGCTGCTCATTCATTATACAGCTCAGCAATTTTTCCAATAGACTTACGCAACGGAGAAGGCATTAATACTTGGAACTTAATTCAGAAAATATTCGTGCCTCGCGTGTCGATACACCTTGATTTTTTTAAAGCGGTTTGAAATTGTAAACATCGTAAAGCACCTGATTACACACAGTCACTGCTTTTGAGGAGGGATTTCATGGCGTGTCCCGAGCTGTGCATTGCCACCACAGACTGCGAAGGCTCTGGAGGAGCCACCAGAGAGTCTACTGGGGAATAACACGCTGGGAACGGCAGCAGCATTTGTTTGATAAACTGACACAACCGCACCGCCTCGTGAAGAAGCATCAAACACTTTTTCAGGGTAAACATTTCCACAAGGCGCGCTATCAGTCTGAGGCCATAAACACGGTGCGCGCATTAAGTTCATGAGTTTGCAGCATACCTGCTGCGCTGGGAATAAAATCAGGAACTCCAACATGAAATATAAGCCATTAGTTGTTAAAGGAGCACCAGCTAAAGACTGTATTGGGCCAGTTCATCATGTGCGGGGATGGGCAGGGAACTGCGATACCACACGGGACTCTCCCTGCGTGACAAACGGCTTTCACAGCTCCTGACTACGCAGTATATGCCTGCAGTGCCTTTGCGAGAAGCACCATAACCCTCTTCCTATGCAAAAGGCCTATACTGGAAGCCAAACACTCGAACTGAGCGCAGCCAGCATCAAAACTTCCTCGGGCTTTCTCCCTGTGCTCCTGGATGCCCCGTGAAGACGCGTCCCACCCCCATGGCGCTCTTCGGACAGGCTCACCCGCCAGCGGCGTAAAGGAAGGAGCCTGTCTCACGAGGAATGGTCTACATCCCTTTTTAGGTGCCCAAGTACACCCTCTGTCAACAGCACCCCTCCACCCCTCCCTGGCTGCGGAAAGACTTGATGAAAACGCAAACCTACTCCGAGACGTGCCTCTTATCCTGTGATGGAAATCCAATTCAGGAGTGCACCGACGCAGCGCAAGAACTCATCACTGGGCAGTCTCACCCGCTTGTGGGCAAATATCTGATTTAGATAGGTACTGCCTCGATATATGCTCCTTCTTTTTCAAGGATTCACACAATCACCAGAGTTAACCGTGATGCCCGACTGCTTCGCACCAGAGAGGGACCATTTACCCCACACGCAGCCCGTTGTGCAAGTAACTGATGAGGAATTGCACAACGCAATTACCCTGCTGTTGAGCTGTATGCAAATAAAATGGACTGACGGAAAGGGTAACGTGTGTTTTCCCCAATGCTCGTTTTCCAGCGGCCTGCTTCTGCTTTTTCTTAGAACCAGAAAATGAACAAGCACCTTAATAATTTTATCTAAAGCTGTAAATCCACTCACTTGAATGTTCTGGCCATAAAGGCACATTTGGCTTTATCATTATGTGCCCGATTCTTCCAATATTTGTGAAATGAAAAGTTACAAACTACTTCACCACTGGTTTAGCCTTATCAGGGACTTTGATAGCTACCAGAAGCTTAACCAGATCCTTCCTGGTATTTGAACACAGTATTTCAAAATTTAATAAGCATCTTGTGAAGATTTCCACACAAGGAGACGAGCCCAAGCCTGCCCTTCCTCGCCCCGAGTCCCTTACCACGCACGGACACCCCCAGCACGTCCCTGTCTCCTTCAAGGATGGGATAACCCGGCCCTACAGCGAGCTTAATTTCACACACCAAATTTAACAAGCAGATTCAACAAAAATCCCCATAATCAAATGTCTTTTCTCTTTATTCATTTTAGAGAAATTAGCAGGCAGAGTCAGAGAGCACGCAGCCTTCTCTTGCTCTCTGTACCTCCGACTCTTCAGAACAACTGAAACACAAGCAAATTATTAGTGCTAAAGTGCTTAGACCAGGTTTTAAACTGAGGGTGGAGTTCAGCAGAAAACACCAACAACTCCTTAACCGGAGAAGCACAGATAAATCTCACCCAGCACCCAAACACGCACTCGAAGCGTGCTCCTCAGCCCTGCCACGGGCGCAAGCACTGGGGGCTGAGTCTGTCATGGAAATAAAAGGCTGTGCCAAGGATGAACTCTGTGTGTTGTGCTAAATTTTTCCTGAAATGGACAACTTAGGGAAATTCTGTGGTTTGTTTTACATAAAACTACAATTTTGTTTTGTCTGGAACATAGGCACTTTTTTTATTAATGACAGCATCTATCTGTTTCTCTTAATTATCTGCAGATAATTAATTCCCATCTGCAGATAGATATCTATCTGGTGTTTCTAGCGGCTTAGGTAAACACTAAACCCAGAACTAGCCCCGCACCTAATCCACCTTTTGTTGTTGTTTAAAAAAAAAAAATAGTTTAAAAAGCAAAACACTACAATTGACGAGCTTGACAACAAACCTTGTGGTGCTTGCAAAGCAAGAGCCCAACCCTGGGTACCGCTTAGGATCTGCGTGCTGGGAAGCACATACTTACATTCTGCAATGGTGAGAGGTGGGTAGGTCAGATAGAAACCCACCAGCTCAGCCGACAGCTGATTAAGGAGGTTGCTGGAAATCGTGCCATTTAGAGTCGTGCTTTGATTGTTCACTACATAAAACAGGGTGACAGCTTGGGAGACATTAGATGTGTTCAAAATCTGAAACAGAGGTAAAAGAAATAACGCGTAGCTGTGTTTCAGCTCGGTTAGAAAAAAGAAAAGAAACGGTGCAGACAAACTGGGAACAACTTGAACAATGGATTAGATACAGCTCACCCGACATGATTGTGTAAAACAGTTTGTGGTACTTTTAATTCCTACTTTAGCGCATGAAGAGCTACTGGAGGACTTACATCAGGCAGAAAAGGCACAGTCAGGATTGAAAATATTTTTCCCTGTTTTTTACCAGGAAATGTAAGATGAGGGTGAGAATGCTTATAAGGGGGGGAAAAAAAAAAAAAGAAAAAAAAAATCAGTATTTGATGCAGAGGAATTAGGCTTGTATGTCTTGTTCTCTTTGCTGCCTTCTTAGTGCAGTTATGTAGACCTACACCTCTTCCCCAGGAATTAAAGGGCTATCACGTGTCTTCCGTCCCTAGCATCATGGGATTCCCGACGTTCCTCCCAACTTTAGCTCTGCACCAGTCTCTTCCTGACCCTAGATCTGATGTCTGCGTTTAAGGACCAATTCTATTTGGCGAATATCGGATCACATCCTCTAACACCAGTTTTATGCAGGAAGCAGAAAGGCAAAGGTGGGGCAGGAGTGGAACAAAACACGTTTTCTCAGACAACTCACGCCCTAGGACAAGAGGGATGGGGTTTTGGCTACTGACAGTGTAGGTAGAGCCACCAGCATTCGGCATTGATGAATGTTATTTAAATACCCCATTTTTTTATGATTTGGATCAGTAAGGAAAAACACAAAACATGGTATAAGAAAAGCATCAGAAGAGTTTGAGGTCAAACTGACATCCACTTACAAGGGGCCAGGAGCAGAGCTGGAGGATGAGCAGAGGGCACGAGGACTCTTTTCCACAGTGCAAGGTTAGCTCAGAAGTGTAGCCTAAGCCATGAGTTATACGCTTGGGTTTAAAAAAGGGTTGATGACTTCTTATTCGTATGTTTGGCCAAATGCTTTTTGTAACTTCAATACTTTTTCTCCAGTCACACCCGACTGTCTTCAAAACCTTAGGAAAGGATTTTTCTTTTTATTTAAACCTGAGTAGTTCTGTTAGGGCAAACTCTAGATGATCGCTCCTGATTCACAGCACCGCTCGAGGTTGGAGAACAATGGCAAATTTAATTTATTCTTGCATGCAAGTGCCTGTCACCCATGTTGCTGCCATTCTCTCTATTCTTGCGGTGCAGCGATGCCTTTTCCGAGTCAGTTCCATCTGCTCCAGATCTCTTCCTCAGTTTGTTATTAATCTAAAACCTTTGTATGATTTTCTGTTGCACCGACTTAGGCCTTTGCATGGTACTGGAATAATTTCAGAAAAATTTATCATGAATATCACACCCTTGAGCCTCTTATTTCCCAGTTTATATCTCGCCTCCAAGACCTCCATCCTATCACTTCCTAAACTGGCAATACCAACAAACCACACAACCACCAGTCTCTTCCAGGGGCTCTTTACAAAATCGCCTCGGTGCTTCATAAAATCTGCTACTACTTCTGCGAGCAAATCAGCCACCATGAAAGTCCCCTCAGCATCACGAGTCCAGCTACTGAATTGGTTGATAATCGCTTTACCTTCCGCAGTAGGTCATCTCCTGCCGTGCACTCTTCTGCCTCCCTGAGCTCCTCCAGGTTGAACACAAACTCACAGGAGACAGTACCAAAGTAACTAAGCAGAGTTCCGATCACCAGTTTTCTCCTTCTGGTAAGCTGCATGCAAACCTTTCTGAGGAGTGCGAGTCCATACGCGGTTTTATCATACGCCAGATACGTATCCCACCCAGAGGATAAATTTATTTATTCCTGAAATATGGCCCAGAGCATAATGGTGTTGGGCCGCTAAGCATCAAGTTTTGTAAAAATCAGGCCCTTAATAGTGAATTTGGGTCTGCAAGTGTAGAACTGGAATGCACATAAGAAATAAACATATTCCATTAGCTTAGATCTTCCAAACAGCTATCCATGACACTATCTTTATACCTGAATAGCCTCACTAAGAGCAACTTATGTCAGAACAACATATTCGGTAAAAATATCAATTCGGAAGAAAAATTTATATATATTTTTTATTTGAATCTCATTTAAATGATTTAACTGCAAAGAGTAAAATTCAAATTCGTGAAAACAACAGTAAGAGTCTTCTATAAATCATGGATTTATAACTTTTTCTGCAATAAAGAAAACAATCTTATTTCCGAGGACAGCATAAGGTTGCTGCCATAGCGGCTATCAAAGACGTTATGTTGAAATACAGGGATATACATAGGAAAGAACAACCCAGAGAATTTGGCAACAGGCACTGGCAAAGCAACACCGTACCTGAACTGTTAAGTTGTTGCTGGTGTTTAAGACTTTTCTTTCAGCATCCTGAAACGCTCTCTGTAACCGTTGCTCCATGGTCTGAACAAATTTGCATGACTGTATATTGTCCGTTTGACCCACAAACTGCAGCTCTGGAAAAAAGGAACCAACGTATTTACACGCAGACAAAATATTCTCAGTTGCGTAATTCCTGTAACGTCCGACAGCAAGGTGACCAACTCGCAAATTAAACAGGTGAAAGTAATGCCATGTAAGAGCGGTTTGTGTCTTTCAAGCACTGCACTAAACTAGCCTTAATTAAGACAAAACGCGAGGATTAAATTGCATTACTACAGCTGATACTCTCCACAAAGATCGTTGCTGCAGTTATATAAAAGATAAGACCAGTTCACTGTAAAAAAAAAAAAAAAAAAAAAAAAAAAAAAAAACCCCTCAGTGCCAGGCAGTAAGTGAAATCATTCTAACACACAAGCTATACTTTTAAATCTTGCAGGTCATTTGCTCTTGCAAGACATAATCAATCATAATATTGATTCCCGTTCTGTTTGTGCTAGGAAAAATAGACTTCACTGGGTAACTGGAGTAGCGTGCGTATATAAACATATAAGCGCGCACGTAAGAAATCTTTTTACAGCCCATACGTTGTTTTACAGCACTGCCTGCGCTCTCATAGCTCCGACTGTTGTGCTGCCCTGCAACTGCTGCGCACTGATGCTTGCAGAGAGGGGTACACAGCAGCCTTGGGTCCAGCCAGAAGAATACGCGCGTCCATCACGTAGTCACGTCTCTCATCTGACCGTTCTCAAAAGGAACGCACAGGTTGCTGCACAACTCATTGGCTGAAGTCCGTTTTAACCAGCACCAAGTCTTATTGGAGCACACTGGGGAGACTTATCCCACTCCACAGCAGTGCCCGCAGGGGCGAGGAGAGCACCGCGCAGGACAGGGACCTACACGCTGGCTGCGCCGCTCGCCCCAGCGACATCAAGGCGTGAAACCAGAGTTCATCCTGCGGCTGGACGGGAGAGCAGGGGCTGAGGCAGGGCGGGAAGCGGGAGGAGAAGCATCGTCCCGTGCACGGAGCCTGGGGGACGGGCGCTCAACCCGGGGCAGGGACTGCAGAGCCCGCTCACCTGTTTTCAGCTGGAAGTGATAGGCGGGAAGGGGCTGCCAGGGCAAGGCCAGGGCCGCCACGGACTGGAGATGTGGTACGTGCTGCTTGATGTCGGCCGTGGCGTTGCTGATGCCGTACGCACGAAGCCTCTCAATGACGGCGGCTGGCATGAAAACCAGCCTGCCCCGCGTAACGTAGTAACCAACTGTCACGTTATTGGATTGCTCCAGGATTTCAACCTAAAACACACCAGGAAACGTTTAATTTTTTTTTTTTTTTTTTTTTTTTTTTTTGCAGTTCAACCACTGTTTGATGAGACTTCTCATCCAGAATATAGCTCCCTTGTTTTTTATCCTGTAATCCCCTATAAACCCTACAGGGTTTTTATCCTGTAATCCCCTATAAACCCTACAGGATCAGTGTCAGACCAGACATGGTACCAGCAGAACTTCTCAGGGAGCTTTAGACCCAAGTCCATGCAAAACGTGCTCGGAACTGAAGCAGTGCTGTATTTCTACCACAGCTCACGTACCTCTAATGCAGGCTGGGGCTTCACGCACGTATCGATACTGGGACATTTTACTTATCAATGTTAAAATACAGAGAACCTAAAGAACTTCCAGCTGCTCCTTCACACCTGAAGGTCACTGATTTTGTGCCTATGTCTGTCATTGCAGGTTTGGAGACAGATTTTTTGAAAGACGAAAGTTTCCAATATTTGTTTCTTCAACCTCAACTGTCTCTTCTATACTATTTTCCTATCCTGTCCCAGATGGTTAAGCTATCCCTGTGTAAGTAGAAATGACAAACCACAAGCACAAACACATTGCGAGTCAAAACATGAGTTGAGTTTTACCTCGAAATTCTGTATTTTCCAAAATGTAAGGCCTGGAACTGGTCCTCCACCCTAAGTTTTAGCTGGCTCCCGCTGTTAGAAAAAGGCAGCTTCTCTCAGGTTTACAAGAAGGTGGGGGACTAAACTGGACAAGTTTTATTGCTGCTGCTGAGACTGAGGAATATACAATTCCCAAGCCAACATCCATCATCCAAACTTGCAGCAATAGAGCATGGGGACGGAAGTCAACCTGATGCCCTCTATTTTGAGCAAAATTACTTTTTTCCTTCCCCGTGGCTTAGGGAGTATAAATCATACCAGCCTCAGACTCAGCACAAACTCCTGCCTAAGTGCACGGGAACCTGTGCTGCAGAGAGAAGCGCCCCGGCAATCCACCTAAGCCTGTTCTTACACGCAGCAACGCAGAGGTTTGTGCAATTTAGCTGCCAAGTGACAAACTCATCTCCCTCGTTTATTTTCAATAATAATTCAATAATTTTCACTTTCTCCCTGCTTGGGATTTTCATCCCTGTACAGCTGCACTTGTCAGGTACTGGGGTTCCAAGCCTGGGAGCAGACTGACGGCAGTGACACCCCACTGACCAGCCCCGCTCTTCCCACCGACGCAGGCTGAGCACGAGGCACTTTGCTGACTGAACAGAAGTCCTTCCTGAGCTGCAAGGGGAGGAGGAAACTGCTGTCAGCAGTCATTTCATAGAACATACCAAAAAGAAATTTGTATTTCTCCCTTTTACTTTATCAAATAAAGTGGTAAAAAATTTGGAACAGTCTCTTTTTTTTTTTTTTTTCTTCACAGCGTGGGTGCCACCTATGCCTGCTTTCCATAGGAGAAGCTCAGTGCTCGCCTCCAAGAGGCTTTCCGCATCCAGAGACATCAGTGGAACTGCAGGCAGCGGGGCTTCTCTTGGTGGGAGAGCTGTTTTGGTGGGATGGGATCACACGGACACACCAAGCGTGCTTACCTGAGCGCTGACGTTCTGGTTGAAAGCTTGTCTCAGCACTTGGTTGAGCCCTTTTCTCACGCTCTCCCTGAAGGCATTGCTGATCATCATCCTCCTTGTGTTCAGAAACAGAACTGTGGAACGACACAAGCCACACGTTGGTTTTGGACATTACAATGCTACTGTTTGCTTTTTTAATTCATTTTACATCGGGCTATCTGGTGGAGCTCACGAAAGCAGCTGGGATTTGCAGCAGCTCCAAAGGCAGCGAGCAGCGCAGGGGCCCAGCAGCACACCTAATCACCCCGTGGCAAGAGCCCGTTGTTTCCAGGGGGAGGTATAACATGCAATTTCTTCAGCAACAAGTCTTTGCCATGCTGCCTTTCTGAGTGAGGGCTGGCGCAGCATCCCCAGGGGACTGAGCTGGTGCTGCCCAGGCAGGCCTGTGTAAAGGACGCGTGTTTCATACCTTTGTGGCCAGAGTTAAATAAACAAAGGAATGTGTTACTCCACTGCTACAATTATTTTACTTTTAGGAAGTGTCCATACACTTTCTCTTATAACTTGCAGAAAGTTTTATACCTGCACTTAAGCACTTTCAATCGTTTCACTGTACATAAGCTATCTTCAGAAATAGTTGTACTCATCATGCTACTGATGTAGATACTTAGTCGCTCCTAAACACGCATTAGGTCCAAAAGCTGCTTATTTCATTTTCCCCAGTATCATTCAGGTCTATACAAGGCCATAACCCCTTTCACATCGCTGTTTTTCTTTGCCAAGATCTCCAAGATACACATCTTCTGGTGTTGCACTGTGCTACCACAAGGAGTCCATAGGCAGCCTGGGCAAAGGGACCTCTCCAGACCCCTTTAGTTTAGAGTTCTTACAAGGAAAAGATGTCTGTGAAAAAATAAGTAGAGCTAGAAGCGATCCTGTTCACATAGAAAGCTCAAACCCCTCCCATCCTTAAGTGGGAGTTAAATACTAAACGTGATTTTCAAATTAAATAAGATAATTAGGTGTTCATAGAAAAAACATAACTAGGTATTCATATGTAAACAGGGCCAAAGACGGAGGCAGGTCCCTGCTCTACGTTCTTCGGTAACAGACTCTTCAGCGCAGGGCAGGGACCAAGCCATCACGTCGTACGGGGCTGTCCCTCCACATCGGTGGTCCCGCGGGATCCCTGCGGTGACCCTCCGAGCTCCAGAGCCCCGGATCTCACTACTCCATTTCACACGGTGAACACCCAAGCTACAAATAAAGCCAATGCTGTTCCTAGCTAGCAACCCTGCTTTCCTCTGCCTGGTTGGGCGGCGCAGCAGCCTCATCCCCAGCCTGATCACTGATGCCCCCACGTTCCTTGAGACTTGAGTGCATCGCCCACTCCCAGGCAAGCCCAGTGGCCCCACACACCTGTTTTAACCAGGAGGTTCCTGGAGAGCCGGCAGTCCAGGGGAGGGGCTGCTGTCATGTTAGCGAAAGCGCCTGCTGCGGTGGTTTCGGGAGGAGCAGAGGTGTTTTCCACTGGAGTAGGGGGAAGCCTAGTTGTTTTCGCTGATGCTGTAATAGATGTCAAAGCTGCTGTAATTGTCAGCGGATACAGGGTTGACGTTTGGGTGATTTCTGAGCTTGGGAACTTCTGGGTGTCAGTTACTGCTGTCTCTATCTGCCCTGGCACGTGTGCTGCGGGTGCCAGTGTGGAAGCTGTGACCATGCTGCTTTTAGGTGTTACGAGCATAGCTGTCACGTCCACAGGTGATGCAGTTGTGTTTCTTGTTGCAAAAGGAAAATCTGTGTGTGTTCCTACTGAGATTAGATCTGATGTCAATTTTGTGGCAGTGTTATTTTTTGTTAGTGTCAGTATCGGTGTGCTTAAAGCCATCACAGATGGCAAAGGTGTGTTTTCAGTGCCGAGAGAAAAGAAGGAAGAAGCTGGCACTGGTGAAGCTGGAGATGATTTTCTTGTTAGTGGTTTTGCTTCTGAAGTTCCTACTGTAGGTATTGCACCAGAAGATACTCCAGATAACACTGTAATGACAGAATGGGTAAAGTTGGTTGTTGACAAAAAAGGAGAAGTTAGTTGTGTTGGTGATGCATGGACAGAAGTTATGATGACTGACTGCAGAGCACTGGTGGTAGGGGGTTGTAATGGGATGCCCTTGGTAGCTTTATTAGATGTGTTACTGGGAACTAAACTATGTCTTGTAGCACTTGTGTCCCACTCCTCCACGCTAAACGTGGCTGGATTTTTACCAGCCACGAACAAAAAACCAGAGGACTCTAATTGGTTATCTGAAAATTCTGCCAAATATCCAGAACCAGTGTCACCTTCTATAACAACACTGTGCCAGAGAGTTGAGCTAGAAGGCTTAGTTGGGGGAGAGGGGGACCCGGCTGGCAGCATGCCGTGGGTGGCACTGTCTTCACTGCTGGAGGGAAGAGTCAAGGGGTCAGTGACCTGCGAAGCCAACACTGGTGTTGTGCCTGAGGTTTCTGTCAGCGAAGTAATCTTTCCAGCATCGGTTGTTTGTGACTCTAGAGGGCGAGGGGAAGCGCCTGTACCGTTAACAGGAGGCCCACGCAGGCGGAGAGGTGCTTCAGGGTGTACACTGGTATCAGTGTCTCCGACAGTAAGGGAAGGAGCAGCGCTGGCAGCTCCACTTCCATGCTCTCTTCGCAGGGGGTCGGGCACTGTCAGAGTGGTACCGAGGGATGGATACTCAACAGGGGACGTTTTCAGTGCAAATGCATCTACGGAGAATTCTGGAAAACTACTTGACTTGATTCCAGCCAAGGGTGAATTTGAGCCATTTTGGCTAGAGTTTGCATACAAATAGTTTGCTGATGGGGTGGAGAAAAGTGCCTGCTTATTTGTATCAATTTTCTTTTGCAGACTCAAAACTACGGAGTATGGTGCATGGTAATCAGTTTCCAACGCAGAAATACTTGGAGGAACTTCTCTTATTGCTGTTTTGACTGAAGTTGTTACCAAAGGAATACTAATGTCAGCTGAAGACAGCAACGCTGTATTGGTCCACATGGAAGCTGAAGCTGCAACTTCAGGAGAGCCGACAGGATCTAAATTGCTCTCAGAGTCCACATTTGAAATCCCAGAAAAGCTGGAACTAGGGCTGTCCATCACCGTTGTCATGGAAATGAACGATGGCAGCATACCCCATGCTGGAGGCACAACAGAAGCAAGTGGCTTTCTGTCAACTGAATGTGAAGTCTGAGGAGAGGTAAAATGATTTAAAGCTCTTAGAGGTGAAAATTCGGCACGTGGGGTCACAACAGCAGACACTCTCATATTTCTGTCTTCATCTGCAGTTACATCTGGACTTTCCGCATCACCAGGTGGAAGATACGCCGTCACAAAGATATTACCAGCAGACGTGACGGCAGATTCAGGTGTTAAAAGGCCCGTCGTGGAAGCAGTTAGCGCCACTAGATCAGGACTAGTCATGGCTGTTTCCAAAACACTACCTAGTATCTTTGATCCTTTGAGGAGTTTCCTGCGTTTGATATCTGGAAAAACTTTGGAAAGCTGAGATCCATAAGGCAGAACACTATTAGCTTTAAAGTTCATGGACAGCTTCGGCATCACCCCTCTCGTGGAAGGCTGTGGAGCTATTCTTGCCGCAGGAAAGCCATCAGAAGTCGGGGGAGTACGGGCAGTTCGCAGTCGCATGCCACTTGCCCGATAAGCTCCATCGGTCAGGTCTTCTGCAAAAGTCCGATCCTGAACCAGCACCGAGGGCTGCGAGGAGACAGTCAGAGGGATTTGCAAAGCCCCCTCCGCGGCCGCTGCTGCGCTGGGACTGTTTCTGCCTGCTATCCCCGTGAAGGTGTCATCTGTCTCAGTTAGCAAGGGAGACCTTGCACTTGTTGAAGAGGAGCGTGTCGCGTTTGTAAAGAGTAAATCTGTTTGGCTTCTAAACGCTCGTACTGGCAGCACTGCGCTGTGAGCGTGCTTCGCATCTGGAATAAACGACTTTGGCAGCGCAGGGGAAGGCGTGCTCTCTGCTGAGCTGGAGACCTCAGCCAGGCTCTCGGGAGCTGATGACATGAAAGGTGCACTGGTAGAGCAATTAGTCAGTGCTGTGGAAGACTGAGGATGACTCATTTGCGGTATTAGATGTGGAGTACCCACAGGATGGAAGACTGATGTAGGAACCTCTCCTGTATCCCAAAAAACTGATGACAGCGGAGTGATATCACTATTTCTGTCAGTCAGCATTGCCTCAAACGGCTGACTGACTGGTTTTGCTCCAGTAGCAGATACAGTATACACACTCTCATCAGGAAACCGTGACAGGCTTCTGGAAGTTACTGGCAGGGAAGACCGGTATGTTTTTGACACAGGAATATCAGAGTACACAGACAAAAAAGAGGTCCTTTCTGCAGGAGACCCTTTTCCCACTATTTCTGTGAAATGCGCTGCTGTGGATCCAAAGAGGTCGAAAGGCAAGGTACCCGTAAACAACCTGGGACCCTTTCTGTGATCCACCGTACTGGGATGTACTACAGTGACCACGCTCAGAGAACTATTTCTGCTTTCACTAACCTGTGAACTGGCTGAATCTGTGTGGAAGAAACCTTCAGGATCTGCAGACAAAGGCACTTTGATGGGCAGTACAGCTGGTTTAGAAAAGTTAATGGTATGAGGTGACTGAATTACCAATGAGGAGAATGATGGTGATGGAACAACAGCAAGCATGTCTGATCCTGATGTGCTCTCTTTTGAAATGGAGGGTGTTTCTAATGGTGTTAGCTGAAATGGCACATCTGTACTCAAATGTGGCACTGACGGTGTAGTGGACAATGTGGCAAACATACCAAGTTGAAGCAAACCTGATACAGCAGCTGTTTCATCTGCATCCTGAGACGACGACCTCAGAGGCGACTCAGCTGAAACTTCAGCAGGTTCCTGGGATGCACTGTTTCCACTGCCTTGATAAATAGTGGGCGACAGATGAGTTTGATCCAAAGTCCTGGTACGTGTACCAGTCAGTGTTGTTTTGATCATCTGAAGCAAGTTCGCATTCTCCAAAGTCTGTCCCATAGAAATATCCGACACTGAGGGAGTCTTAGCTTCTGTGGAAGGCCGTGTTGGTGATAGTCTAGATCTCCAGTTGGGAAAAGATCCTGTAGAAGGAGCGACATTGATATGCTGTTGCCTGATACCTGTAAAATAATAAATAAAATTAGTATGTTCTTCCCCAAAAGGGAGTTGTCTTGCTGCAACAAATCACAACGCAAAATGCATTATGTTTAGTGAACTTCTTTTGTATTCAAAGGGCATAAAAATTCAGAGAGAGTTAAAAAAAAAAAAACAAAAACAAAACAAAACAAAACAAAACAAAACAAAACACCATAAAAAACAGCGAAAGGTACAACATGACAGATTATAAACCCCTCGGGTCATTTCAGCTGACAGAAGAAAGAATAAAGAAAGTTTCCTAGACCAACTAGTCTAAAATACTACTTCTAACTGGGACGGTTCAACATACTAAAAGACATTTCCTTAAGCCTGGGACAACTCTTGAGGTTATCATGAGTCACCCTCTGTCAAAATATTATGTGAGAGGATGGGTAGAGAAGATGTGTTGAGAGGGTATAGATTTTGGAACAAGCAAGCCTCACTGACTTGGCACGCAGTCTGACATGGGAACAGAGTCAGCGTTGGCTGGGTTCCTGTAGGACGCATCTGGAGGTGCTCATCTTGCCAGTTCTAATAACGCGTGCAATTACAGACACAAAAGGAAGAAAAATAAAACAGGGATGGAACATGAGGAAAGGGGGGCAAGATCCAAAACAAATTAGGAAATTAAACTTCTTTTTCTGATATATGCAGATGTACAACGCATCATTTCAAAGACCAGTTTGGTCTACATTCAACACTATGATGTTCCTAGGCTTTGTTTACTTAAAATGATTACAGCTATTCTAAAATTGTAGCATGGGAAGTCTCTCATTTCTTACTAATTTAGAGATTAAGATTCACCCAAGAATAAAATTTAAGGGGCTTTTTTTTTTTTTTCCCCCCCTCAAGATAATAGATCTAAACTCATCACTGGAACTTGCAACCCCACCAAGCTGTGTCCCCTGTCATAGCTAAACAGAGGCACAACACAGAGCTAGTCCCTGCCCTCCAACTGCAGCACTTCTGGATCAAGCACAGAGAATGCCAACCTCCTCCATACCCTTATGAATAACCCCAGCGCGACGGCACGGAAGACAAAGCGGGGCCAGGCCTTGAGATAGACGGTTATGAAATGGGCTGGGCATTAGTTCCAGCCACCAACCAACCCAACAGAGCCAACAGCACCAAAGGGGATCAGCCCACATGAACAGGAGCCAGCAGCAGCACACCGGAGGGGAAAATGGGTCACGCTGCGCCTATTTAAAGCGGAGTGTCATTCTTGCAATGCCCTTGTGCTCCACCGCCCAGCATCCATATGTAGATGATTTGACCAGCTGCTTCAGGCTCCTGTGTGCATTCAACAGGAACATGCTGGAATTATGTTCAGCGTGGCATTCGCACCCCACAAAAAAAAAAAACAAAACAAACCAACAAAAAAAACCCCCACTCGATAAACAAACAAAAACAAACAAAAAACCCCAAACAAACAAAACACATTTTCCTGATCAACGTGGCCCAGTGGAAGGTGTCCTACGGAATGGATGTTGGAACTAAATCATCTTTAAGGTCCCTTGCGACCCAAACCATTCTTTGATTCTATGATTCCCTTTAATCCCTGTGTTTAAGAGCTTTATTAAGCCATGATGAAGAACAGCCATTATAATCTTTCCTCCACTGAAAGGCAAGAATGAATACAGAATCCAGAAGCAGTTTGTTTTAGGTGAGCAGCTCTAGGGCGGGTAACGGAACAGAGCTCTGCCCTCCTAGCAACCAAAACAGCCCCCAGACCTTTCACTTAACGCAGGCGAACTTGCGCACTAGCGTTCTGGAGAAAATCACGGACACAGGGCTGCCTGCAGCACCAAGAGATAAGCAGGTTAAGAGGAAAGTCCCATCGGCCTTTACGAAGCTGCGCAGTTGGACAGGAGGCTGCAGAGTCCACCAGGGAACCTGACCCACCAGGAGAGATCTGCAGCCTAAAAGCAATGCTTTTGTATTTGCACCACGGCTGCTGATGTGGCGCTGGGGGACCAGAGTCCTAAACGAGTGGCGCGGCCTCATTTCTGACATTCTACACGCTCCACCATACGTTGGGAGGCACGCCGCGATTGTGTTCTGGTGGCTTTTCCTTCCCTGTTAGTCAGGCAGCTTTTTACGGAAGGCAGGCAAGGAGAACGCGTATTTTGCCCAACCAGAACGGATTCAAACATATGCTTGAAATTAACAGCTAGAGGATGCGCTTTGCAAAAATCAGGCCTTGGGCAATCTGCAGTTTAACTTTCTGCGAGGTCATCTCAGCTGATGGAGTCATCGTGACCCGACCTGTTACACCTCAAACTGTCTTGCTTCACACCTCTGAACTGAAAGGCCGTGCTGAAAAGTGAATGCAAAGCGTTAACACGGGATATCTTCTGACATTTAGCAAA